TCCTGAAGCTCTGAGATCCAAGTCAGCTACACAGTACATGATTAGTGCCATAATATGTAGTCTGACTCTAAAGTGCACAGTTCAGGAGTGTGTGTCTGTATGTTTAGGGCATCAAGACTGGTGGTTGCAGTGGCGGCCTGGCATACCTTTATTTTAAAACTTCCAACCCATGATAGGTAACAAGTAGCATCTTGGGATATGCCTCTTGTAAGCAGAAATATCTTTTGCAACATTGTGGGCCGGGCCAGCCAGTCTTTTTGCTACCCCAAATTGTAATAGCACAGAATCCAAGGGCTGTTCCTTAAGAACGATCGCAGTGCTAAGTAAGCTTGACTAAGTAGGCTTGAGTGTCTATAGTGACATTGTGCAGCTCTGCAGCTGGCTTCTCAGATTGCAATCGCTTCACTGGAGTTCCCAAAGGCATTGCTACCTGCATTTTAGGGGGTCCTAAAGTCATGCTTTTCATTCATCTACCCAGACTCCTACCCATTGCTTGTTAGTGTTTCTATGTCTTTCTATCCTGTCCTTAGCTTGTGGAAAAGTCATGATATTTAAATAGGTGTCTGGACCAATTCATTACAATATGTACATCCAACAGGACAACCTTCCCATGTTGACTCTCACTGAGTTTAACAGGTTTTATTCCTCCTTGAGTGGCATAGCACACTCACAAAGAACTGGGTCATGCTAAGCTCAATGGGATTTGCTCTGGAGCAAATAAATTATAAATGGCAGAGTTCTAGCTTCTTAAAAAAATAGAAACTTTCACTATAGGGAGTTTAGACAGAAAATGTGCCACATTCACGGAATGCCAGTTTAACTTGTTGCCATAAAAGCAGTAAAGCTGAATGGTTTCGCGTACTATAGTAAATGTAGTTTTGAAGTGGGCATGCATTGAGAGTATGCTCAATGGGGCAAAATCCTGCTTCCTAACACTTCTCTCCAGCTTTATAAGCACGCGTGCGAAGCAGCCCTTTTCCAGCAAGGGCATCAGTAGGACAGGAGAGGTTAGCTAGTGCCATCCCATAATCCCTCATTCATGCTTTTGACTCATGAAGTGGGTTGTTTGAAACTCTGCTATGTCTCCCGGTTAAATTGATACAGATCTGTCTTCAGTTCGGTAGCATATTAAAGAAGTTGTGGCTTAAATTACAGCCTAAAAATACTTGAGAACATAAATATACATCTTGACAGGTAAGAAAATCTCTCACCCCGCTTCCCAATCAGCATATATGCACTGTAAATTGATCACATATATAAACTGAAATAGGAAGCTTGTCAAGGAAGGGTGTACAATCTAGACCGGGGTGTACAACTTTCCTCTTGCCGTTTTCTATGAGGTCCCCAAACTCAGTGGAACTTAGACATACACACACATTTTCCCCTGGTTTCTGAGATCACCATTTTCCTGCTGCTAGTAGTGTTGGTTCTGGAGGAAGGAAGAAGACTTTACCTCCAACCCCACACCCCAGTGAAATGTTCTCAATCAATTACACTGGCTACCAATTGAAGTCTGGGCCCACTTTAAGGTGCTCATGTTAACATATAAAGCCCTAAATGGGTTAGGACCTGGATATCTTAAGGAACACATCTTCCCTTCCATACCTACACATACCAAGATCACAAATGAGGTCCTTCTCCAAGAAGGACCTTTAAAAGAAGCAAGTAAGGGAGCTACAAGGGGAAGGGCCTTTTCAGTAGCGGTGCCCCACTTATGGCATCAAGTCCACAGAGAGGTGTGCCTGGCACCAGCACTTTATACATTTTGGTGCCAGGCCAAAACCTTTTTATTCTCCCATTATTTTAATTGTCGGCTACAGATTCATTTTTAAACTGGTTTTTATTAGAATGATCGGTTGCAGTGGTTCAATATCTATTTATTCAGTGTTATAGCTTAACTTGTCTTGCTTGTATTCTTGTATAAGTTTTTGGTTACTTGTTATGTCATTTTAACATTTATCTGTTTGTAAACCATCCCAAGAGCAATGTGCTGAGGCAGTGGTATATGTTTTTTGAAATAAATAAATGTGATAGCTAAAATGGGAAAGAGGAAAGGGGAGCAATTTGAGAAAAGAATGTGTAAAATGGACAGAAAGAAAAACAAATGAAGAAAGCTACGGAAAATGACTGGAAAGGAACAAGGACAGGTGCAAAGAGTGAAGAAGGGACAATCATGTGTGATTAGGCACTTTCTAAGAAAGGAAGGACTAGTTTAATTGAAGGGAGAGTGAAAGAGAGACTAAGAGTCAGGTCTAAAAACAATTACAGGGCAAGCAGTGGAGAGAAACAAGCTTATGTACACACGCACTTGGTGAAGGCTTAATTTACGGATCAAAACACATGAGAGATTTTATTTGAGGAGGATAAATATTCATGGGCCATGACATGAAGGTTTCATCAGACATTTAAAGGTTACTGGAGGAAGGAATCTTTCTTGGGAGTTACGGAAATTTGCAGAAGTGGAATGAGTTGGATACTCCACACATGTAGCAATGCATTGCAGAATTACACTCCAGAGTAAGGCCAGAGGGAGGCAGTAAACAGATAGATGGCTACCAACCATGCTCAGCAGCAAATATTTATCTGAGAGGTTTGGTTTTGTTTTTAAGAAAACACAAAAACACAACTATAGAACCCATATTATCAGATAATATAATAATGTTGGTATCAGAAGCAGCAAGGAGGGGGAAGAAGGAAAATGTGATGGGCTTATCCCAAAACGTGTTCTGTAATTTATTATAGCTAGGATCACAAGGTGAACTTGTATACAGTAATCTTGGTTATGGAAATATAATATTTATATCAGTGCAATGACCTACACATAATTATCTACACATAATTGCTAAGAGGACGTGTTAGCTCAAACTAAATTGTTCTATTGGTTTCAGTAGGCCTTACACATAACTCTTTTTGGACTGGGGTTGTGTATTCTAGAAAAAATGGGATAAACTATGAGCTATTCATAGAAAAGCCCTACTCTTGCTTGTCATGTCTTGCAATGTGCAGATGACAAAATTAAGTCATTAATTGCAATTTGATGAAAATTGGCATTAGGTAGAGTGACATGCTGGTGGTACCCTCCAAAAGTGCTGGACTGCAACGATCGTCTTTCCTGCCCAGCGTGGCTACTAGCCATGACGAGTACACTTGTGTCCTACCTTTCTTGCATCCTGGGATCCAGGGCAGCATGCATTGGGTCCCCAGCTAGGATCTGGATCACATTCAGCAAGATGGCCATGTTGCTTCACATACCCTCAAATGCTGCCCTTACATTTCCCCAAACTGTTTCCATAGACAGCATGGAATACAATGCTGGTAATTACTAATGTGAAAGAGCATGAACCTGGAAAATATATGCTTCTCTGTTATTCTGGCTGTAGATTGGTAAAGTAAGTCTATACAAAAATAAATATGGAATCCATAAAATGAATCGCAAGCTACCAAAAAGACATATATATCTTTAATTTAATATTTCCTTGCACAAGATAATGTTCTGAATTCAAGATGTAAACAGGCTTGGGGGGTGGGATCTAACCTTGAGCTTTGCTGGTGAAGCAGCAAAATTGTTAATTATTAAAATTATTAAATTATTAATTATTATGCAAAGTGGCACTTGCATCAACCGAGGTTCGACGGTTGTATCGCTCCCAGGTTTTTATCCCTCCATCTTTCCCAGTTTTCCATCTTGAAGGTATGGAAAACAAAGTTTCAAAAGATTCAGATAAGGAGAGAATAAATGTGGCCTATGTAAGACTACACTGACATCTAATATGCTTGACATGTATTAAAATCTTGAATAATTGGGTGCTTCGGTTCCTAATCCTGTGTGTGTCTATTTGAGTTCCACTGAAGTCAATAGGAGGTAGTATCAGGTAAGGACACTTCAGATTGCTGCGTTAATAGCTGTGCTTAAGCTTTGGAATGCTTTCCTGATGGAACTCTCTGATGTTCCCCCCTCTTTTAATGCTAATGGCCCACTCAGAACAGCCAGTGGCCAGGAGTTGTAGTCCAAGCAGCCAGCACCATATTGCCTACTCATGAGACATGAAGGAAGCTGGGTGTACTTCAGGTTCAACTGCTCCCACCACCAGTCTCCATTCACATATGCTAGAAGAGATGATTGCAAACAATTTTCGGCTTTAAACTAACATATAATAGCAAACTATTGTTGAATTATGGCTTACTGGAATAAGTCAAGATCTATATGTGGTTTCTTCTTGGTTTGTTCCAATAAACCCCAGAGGTAAGCAGTTTATCCTTGTCAAAACTAAGGACAAACTACAGTGAGTGCAGGGCCAGAAGTGGGTGTTTCTAATGTCCTGTTTGCGGCCTTATAGAAGGAAAAGAAGGGGAAGTATAAAAACCGACACTCACCCAAGGTCAAGTTCATAGCTCTAAATTGTGGCACAGTGTCGCATCTGCAATGCACCAAGATATCATCTCTAGATTTGATATGTTATAGTAACACAAGCCATTATTAATTATTAACTGAAATTCTATAGAATGTACTGTTTAAATATGGTAATATGTAATAAACAGATCCTATCAAGAGATCAGTTTAAACATCTGGCTGCATTCACACAGATACTCTTATTTTAAAATGTAATCATTTCCATACTTATCACAAGCAATGCAAATTGCCACCTGACCCAAAATCCCATAATGTACTTTCTAATGAGCCTTTAAATGTGGAGCCTATTTTCAGGAAATGTCATCTGTATACATGTTTATGACCATATCAGTGCGATCTATGGAAACTTTATATACCTTTTATGAATAAAATGTAAGTGACAGTATTGGTCCTGCACTGACAAACCTTTCTGCTCTGTATGTCCTGAAACTGCAGAACCATAAATTCATTTGAGTGTGGATTTAACTGTTTATTTAAAGGGCAATTTTGCAGGGTATTAGCATGGTGAAATCACCTTAAAAATTTTTCCTTCCTAAAATATACCCAGGAATATCACATGGCTGTTCTGTGGAAAATCAGAAAATCATGATTGAAAGAATTGTATTGTTTAATATTGGATGTACAAAATGGTAAAAAAATTATACCTACAATATTTCTTTGTTTACTGTATGACAACATCCTCAAGTTTCAAGACAGCATACATGAGAATCCAATATTTGTTTTCAAAGAACAGCTGAATGACAGGATGATGCACATAATATTTACTTATGCACTGATAAGTTAAAATGCCAGAAGAAGGTTACTATATTAATCATGAACAAATAGTGGCTTTTCCCATATTAGTTCTTCTCTGCACTAATTCAGTAACATGTATCACAGAGCTGCCTGGATATACTGCAAAGAACAGTAGATGCTTTTAAAAGAATTGGCAAAAAAATTCTGCCAGTTTTTAAATCCTGAATTGGCAGAATTTAACAATTATTGCAAATATTCCATTGATACAACTTGGAACATTTTAATCTAAACATGGCTGAGTGACTTTAAATTCTTAACAGCTATATTTTAACATTTTATGTTATATGGAATACATGGTTAGAGCACCTTTGATCGCTTGATTGTAGAAAACACGGCCCCAACTAAAATAAAATGATTACGTTGCTGGAAAAACAACCATAGTAAATTGTGTGTGTTTGATGAATTTTTCACCTAATCCCACAGAAATATACCATTTGGAAGGATGTGATACATAAAATCAAGTACACTGGAAGGAAGATTTCACAAGCTAAACCTTCGCATCATGACATGGATTCAAGGATCCTGTTGCAGAAACAGAAGCATTTCTGTTCAAGGAATATGTACATCCCACTGGTAGATTCCCCCACCCCCAAACACACCACATCCAGATGGTTCGAAGGCTCCCCAGATCCCTTGGAGAGAGATTTCAGGGTATGTGTAAGACTGTAGATGCAAGGAAAGAAATGACAACATTCCCTGCACCACACACAGGATCCAATTTCAGTCCTTTGTCTTCCCAGCATTTGATCTGCATATGCCCCACTGATCAAAGCTTTATAATGTTTGATGTTAAGGCACAGAGGCTAGGATCCCAAAAGCTGCAAAACATACACCAAATCATTTGACTATACCACATAAAATTTTGAGTTCCTGCCACCAATTTTGAGCAGTAAGACATTAATTTCAAAACTAGTTCTCTATGTTACACAGGGGATTGCTTTGTAGGAAACACATGTCCAAAGCCCCCTTCGACAAAATAAACTAGTTTGTGTGGCGCTTTGGATCCAGCCCTATGGTTCCTCACCCCTACTGGAAGGATTGAAATAAAGGAAAATCAGTGCTTCCATGAGAAAGTAAAATACAATGTCTCATGGATTGTCCTTGTATATGCAGAAGGTAATTGACCTTCCCTATGTGTCTCTGCTTTTGATTATTTGAATTCAGTATTTTGAATATGCAAAATATTGGTTTGCTTTTAAAAATCAACAAATCCCTTCATATTCTAAAGTTATCTAGACAGTTGAAACTTTACTTTTAAAAGATTAGTCTATGATTTAACAATATATTTTTGCATGGAAAATAAAGTTACATTCTGGTGAATTCCTTTAATGGGCAATTGCAGTTGAGGGAATTTTTAAATCATTCCAGAATTTAAGACTGTCTCCTATATTTACAAAGAACACCGCGGGTTTAGTTTCAAGGAAATACTTCTGAAAACAATTCCAATTCTATGCAATCAGTGAATTGATCTAGTTAACGTAGACTTAGAATTTATTTTAAAAATCACAATGACATAATAGTTTATGAATTCTCATTTTAAGATATTAACACAGAGTTCCTAGGCCAACATTAAAAGAAAGGTAACAGGCCAAGATCTGAAGTGGAGTGCATGGTTTCCTACATGCTTTTCAGTCCCAGTCCTGACTGCATTTCTACATGCCCATGAAAAGCTTTCTCAGTGGCTTGGGGCCTTCCGGAGAAGCAGCATCTCATGAAGTATTAAGAGGCTGCAGCAAAAGGCCTTCAGGTACATGCAGAAATGCTTTGTACACAGAGACTTCGCCATCTACTAGCCACAGTTAAGCTGGGTATGCTAGGGTCAAGGAACTTTAGTTGATCATGTTGATAAGTGACCATGTTCAGAATGACAGCTTTCCAATAAAGTTCAGCTCTCCAGCCAGGATTTGTGACCAACCAATGAAATTGGATCTTTTGTTTCAATTTTGTCATATATAAATGATTGACAACCAAATCTTTTCCAAATAGGGAAAGGAAACACGACAGATGAATGCAAAGATGAAAAATGAAGTCTGAAAATATTAGTGTTACAAAATAATAATGACCTATGTTGGTTTTGCACACTGGTTATCCTTGTTCCATGTCTTCAAAGTTGGCCTTGTGCAACTTATTATGGATTTGGTTTGTTACTCTGAAAAGCACCATGATGGGAGTGGTTTTAATCGTCCTTTTCTACAATCACTTCACCATGAAGCACTTTCCTCCTTTGACGAAGCATATGAAAGTACAGTTGTGGAAACACTATTAAAGGAAAAAAGAACAAATTGTGTCCATTATACAAAATGTACGCGTGTAACTATAGCATACTGAATTGGCAGAACACAAAAGATGGCTTGAGTTATTGCATCTGAAAAATGGGTAATCGTTTTAGCTTTATCCGTGACTCTTAAACATTATCTGCCATGTTATCCAAGTGAGATAATTCAATAATCGTTTAATAGATACAATTTGGGTGTTCCTTCGCTTACCACACTGAGCTACTTGGGAGGAGGAACGTACATATTAGATTGCCTTAGAATGATCTGATGTATTGTGATTACAGGTGGAATGACTGTCATCTCACATGGACACAGCTCAGGCTCCCCATGGTGGCCTGTTTTCCCACAAACTACCCATTCTGAAAACCCACAGACCGTTCTAAGGTTGTTACTCAAAGGGGGTTGCCAGGGGGCAGAGGGCAGTCCCCAAATGTTGCATTAGTCTTGGCCGCAAGCCTCTGCTTGTTCTGCTTCAGACGAGGAGTCCTGTTTGTGCAGTGTGGACTCTGCCAGCTGTAGTGAGCTCAAAGCATTTTGCAATCAGAGGTATCAGAGGGAGGAGACTTGTTCCTCCTCAGAGTGTCTCTTGGGATACCAGCTGGGGGTGGAGGGAAGGGAAGAGGGAGCGAATATCCTCATTGAGCCTGACCATCTGTCAGGTTTATCATGATTACTTTGCAAAACAACCCACCCACCCTGGCTTACTGCAAGGAAGAGTTGTTTGCTGTGTGAACCCGGCAGTGAGGCAGACCACTGGTCCACCTAGCTCAGTAATGTCTGTTACCGTCAACTGACACACAACAGCTTTCAAAGGGGAGGCTGTGAGTGTGAGCAGGTGCTTATCCCTGACTTATGGTGCATTCCAAAGTGAATGACAACATATAGATCTGCATTGCATGATTAAGACCTACACACGTCTATGGATACTTACATGGTATATAGGAGGCCATGACGATGAGAAGGAAATAGTAATAGTCAAAAGAGACATTATACTTGTTGGGAAGCCTCACTGAAAACATGCCCGATCGCTTTACATAGGGCAAGGCAGCATAAATAGTCAGGAGCTCACCGACGACTCCTACTGGATATAAGATGATGAAAAAATTGTACCTGCAGAAAAACACAACGCAGCTCCAGGAATTCCTTTCTGAACACCTACTGTTTTCTGCCTTGGATTAACAATAGTAGAGCAGTAAATGAGGGGGCTAATGCTCCAGCCTGATGCATGCGTATGCAGGAGGAAGCACAGTGGGCATTACTACGTGAAATACATAGGACTGCAAAGTGTGTGTGCCAGTGGGTAGGACAAGGGTTCTTGGTGTTGCACTGAGGTATGTATTCAATTAATTCACCAACAATTGCATCTGATTCTTTGGACAGGTATGACTAGCCATTTGTCTCCTCACTGTTGGCCCAAGTGTGTTGGCTGGCAGCAATTGCCAGATAGTAATGAAACTCCCTTTTGTGGTAGTACTTTAAATTGGCATAAAAATACCTTTCTAAGGTATCCATACATCCCCCCACCCCGCTTTGGCCACCAATTTTATTTCTGTGATGTGAAAGAATTGTTTGATTTGTCTTAATCTACTCTTAATCTACTCTTCCATGGGTAGATTTAAAACTTTAATTTCCTAGCTGGGGAAGTTCAGCAAAGATTTGGTTCTACAACTTTGGCACTGAAACTGAAGATCCTGGGTGATTTCACACTACATGACAACCCACCCTGGTAATAAGCAGCAGTGTGATGGCTGCTGTGTAAACAACCCACAGTGCACCTGACAGATGTCTGAGCTCATCATGGGTTGTCCATCCATACATTCCCACAGGATTCCCAGGGGATCAACTTGCCCATCCTCCTCCTGACACAATCTGAGCCAATTTTGCTAGCTACAGATCTCCCCCTGCCCCCTGGTCCCCAGGGATCGTAAAAGTCTGTTCTGACAGCCAGCTTATGCAATCTCCACTTTGATAGACACTGGAAGAGTCTTCAAAGTACCGAGTGGCAAACTGAAGATATCTCTAGTTGGCAATCATTTTTTACACACGGGCATTAAATGACTAGATCAGTGGTGGCAAACCTAAGGCACGCATGCCACAGTGGGCAGGCAGAGCCCTCTCTGTTGGAACACAAGCCAAGTCGCCCCAGCATTGCCCCAGCAGCTGAGCACTGGATAACAGCAGACATAGGGGCCATGTGCGTTCTCGGAAAGGAGTAGTGAGCCAGGCAATGACGTCACGAGCCGCGACTCAATAGCCACAACTTGTCCGAGCTTCCACATAGCCAGTCAGTGCGCTGCCAAGGATATATATACACACACATACATATTTGCTTGGACTGGCTGTGAGTTGTTTTTTCTAAACTCTCAGTTTTCAGGTTTTATTGTAGTGTTGGCACTTTATGATAATTACGTGGGTTTTGGGTTGCAGTTTGGGCACCCAGCCTCTAACAGGTTTGCCATCACTGGACTAGATGCACCCAACAAGAGCAGCCATGGAGGCTTCTAAGCCAGGACAGTTTGTCCTGTTGTCTGAACCCAACCAGAGTGGTTAACAAGCCATGCTTCTGGGTTCAGACAGCACAAACCACCTCTGGCTAATATATACTAGGACTTACCATGTTGGGTGTACTCAGTCAGTGGGCACACATATTTTCATTTTTGTTTTTCATTTAGCTGTGCTTGTGCAACTGGGTTTCTGACTAGGATGTAACACCTGTAGATGTTTCAGTCAAAAGAATCCTATTCCTTGTCAATCCCATTTTAAAATAGCCCAGAGTTGTGGATTACTATTTGCTTCCCCACCATTGGCTCAGTTGTGTTGGCTAGTGGCAAACACCAAGCTGCAGTGGCTTGTAACCATGCTATATCAGCCAGTGATGCTTTTTTGAGGGGGGGGGGGTTGCATAATGATTCTCAGCAGCCTGGCTTGTCATGTGAATACTGTCTGGGTTGCTTCTTGCTGGGGGGAACAAGCCACCCAGAAGCCTGTAACAGTCCATTGGTTCTCGGTGGCTTGTAGCCTAGAGCAACAAGCTATTCTGGCTGGGTTTGCATGATATGACAAGCTGTGCTGCCAAAGATAATTATGCAAATTCCTGACATATGCAGCATATCAACAAGTTACCATGGCTTGTAAACTGACTATCACGTGGACTGGGAAATTATACTGAATATGAGGAGAACACCTTCAAAAATAACAGCCAATCAATTCAGATTGATGTTTCTTATATAAGATTGCTGGTGTTATATGGCAAAACCAAACAGGTTGAAGCAACAGCAACAGGGCAATCATCTGGTTTGCTTTAAAGCTTGCTGCAACAAGTTACATTTGAATTCTATTCACAGCAGTAATTAAGAAGCTAAAAGTAATTTCTCATTGGAATCAACATAATGTAAAACCTTCTGTAGAGGCATTTATAATAAAGTGGGGAAATTTTCCAACAACATTTCTAACAAGCGGTCAATTTCTAACAATGAAAGACTCCAATTGCTTTGCAAAGGATTGCCCTATTCGTCACCCTATATACTGGAAACTTATTAAGAGGGTAGCAGCAATGCCATGCTAAATTCCCAAACAAGGCATGCATGTGCAATCATTCATACAGAATGACTCTCTGGAGCTCAAGCTGGAAATTGCAGTGAGAGTGCCCTCCTAGGATGTGAAAGAAATGTGCAGTATGCATTCCATGACCAAAACTGGTGAGATTTAAAATGGCAGCCATGAAATGTGAAACCCTCCAAAGAAATAATGGATCCAGAGGGCATGTAGGTCAACAGGAATGGGTTCATATGAGGCTTAAGAAGAAACCAAATAGTTTAGTGGCATGAAAGAGGGAATACCTAATTAATCCAGTCTAGGCAGAACAGAAACAAATCAATGAAGGATGAACACTAAGCAGCGGCGTGTATTCTATTAATGCAGGCAAAGCTTTTCTGGCAGCAAACACAGAAGATTAGAGATCTTTTAGAAAATTATTACAAAGAAGTACAGTGTAACAATTGTTATCAGAAAAAATATATTAAATACATTGAAAGGGAAGGTGCTGAATTAATTCCTTTGATTTCCGAAATCTCATTTTAAAAAATCACAAGGGACAAAAATGTTCAAAATACGCTTGTCTACTTTGCTCTGTAGTGTTCTTACAACTTGGGGGAAGGACTCAAGTTCAGTGGTACTGCATATGCCTTGCATGCTGAAGACCTGCAATTCAATCCCAAGCATGGGATCATGTAGCAAGTGATGGGAAAGATCACGACTGGAGATGGGAGCCACTGCAAGTCAGAATAGGCAATGCTGGGTTAAACAGCAAAGCAGTCTGATGTGACATCAGGCAGTTTCTTCTATCTGGTAAATTTAAACCGGTAAAGTTTTGGACATTTTTTACGCGCACACATGTGCATGATCCACTCTGTTCATTTCTTGCTGTATTAGTATCCTCTCCCCCTTTTCTCAAAGGACTCAGATGAGCATAAATAGCTTTTACTGCTGCGCAGTCCTGAAGCAGAGATGGTTTGGAAATTACATGCTCCAGGCCAGTCGATGAACATCACAACTGAGAAGGACACTGGCTTCAAATAGCAGTAGAGCAGCACATCTGCAGGACACCAAGTTGGGGAAGATTTTGCTAGCCGCTGCATCGCACCGGCTCTCTTGATGCACTAGTGGGGCTTTTCTTTTAGTTCAACATTTATACAGCATTTTAATGGTAGTGGACAATCAACGTTTTCCGTCTGGAAGTAGTATGGTACAGAACTTAACACACGGTGGGGCTACATGCAGTCCGAAGGCTGCATGTGGCCTCTGCACACATCCCTATGGGGCTGCTGCCACCCCCACACAAAATTGCAAACAAAATTAAGCCCGTAGCCGCTAGAGTCTCAAAAGGGCCGTGTTAGCTTGCAAATGTCTACTCTTTCAGCGTTTTGGAGCAGCTGTGGGTGGCATTTTAATCTTTTCTCCTTTTTGGCATCCGTGGGGAGGAGGGGCAGGCAGGGGGAAAATGCCCCCTGACATCTTGAAGCCCGCTTTTAAGCCTATCAGAATATAACTGAAGAGGACCAAGTTCAAGTTGCCACTCAGCCATCCAGCTTTCCACTGGGTGATCTTGAGCCAGTCACTTTCTTCAAGCCTAACATACCCCAGAGAGGTGTTGCAGGAATAAAACGGGGAGCATAGGACCACAGGCCACTCTTGCCACAGTGGCTCTCTGGTTCTGGCCTTGGGACCACAATGAATTGGGTTTTCTGGGTATGGATGACACAACAAACCATTGTGGTACTGAGAAACCACTGAACAGACCATTGTTTCTGTCTGTTATTTCCACAAATCATACCACGCTGAAATACCACATGGTTCAGATGATATGATGGACCAATGATGGCAAAAAGTCCCCACTGTGACTTGACATGTATCGGAATAGGGGCTATTCTGATAACCCCTATTTCAAGTACTACCCATGGTTCAGCAACAACCCTAACTCAACCCATACTCAGCTTCCCAGGTTACTGTGTTGTTTGAACCCAGTCAACAAGTGTTTATTTGATTAGTTGTGGCTATAGAGAATGTACATTGTTGGATATAAATCAATTACACACAATGAATAGCTTCAGCTATTGGGTGATGCAGAAATGTAGTAAAACTAAGCTCTTGGTCACCAGCTCTGCCCATTTTTGTGAAGAGCACACTGTGCGCAGGGCCGTAGCAGGACAAAACTGATAGTGCAACATTTTAGCAGGACTGGCACCAAACAGCTATGGGGCGGGTCTTCCACTGGTGGGGTGCCACCATGGAGAAGGTCATCTACCTTGTTCCCAATAAACACGTTTCCAATAGCAAAGAAACCCAGAAAAAAGCCTGAAAAAATAGGCAAGTTGGTCTAGAGAGAGCAGTTCCTTCAGGTATTTGGATTCCCAGCTGTTTAGTGGCTTTAAAGATAAACACTTTGAATAGGGCTTGGGCAGCCAACAGAACTCTTTAAGGACTGGTGTAATATGATCCCATTTGGCTGAACCAGTTAGATTTCTGGCAGCTGCATTACTGAAAGTCTTCAAGTTGTCTTCATGTACAGTGCATTACCAAATGGAAGATTACCAGAGCATGGATCACCAGAATCAGCCTATTAATAAAAATGCCATCTATTTTATTGCATGTAAAAGGCTGTCACTGGTTTGGCTTCTGCAAAATTCAACTATTACAACTACAAAACTTGAAGAAAGGTAAAAGATCTATTTTGAGAGGAGGAAAAGCTCAGCAGAAAAATGCTACACTTATACAGTCTTTTACAGAGTATGGTAATATGACTGTATCTCCAAAGTGTGGAGCAAGATAAGACAAGTTAAGATAGGAGCTGCTTTTCCAGCAAGTTACTTACTTGCTTACTTCTTTGTCGTATTTTTCCATCAAGGAATTCAAAGCAGCTTACAGAATCCTTCTGCCCCCCTCTCAGTCTTATCCTGACAACAACCCTGTGGGTAAGTTGCGCTGAGAGTCAGTGACTGGCCAAAGTCACCCAGGGAGCTTTGCGGCTGAGTGAAGATGAGAAGCCAGGTCTCCCAAATCCCAGTCCAACACTCTTGACAACACACTGCACTCGCATGATCTTGTCCATCCAAGTATACCAGAACAATGGCCTCAAAGTGACATAAGAGAAATCTGCTCATGGAATTTGCATTTACCCAAAGATTACATTTCTGTGTAGGGCACCCTTTGCTAACCCAGCATCTCCTGGATGATTTGGAATGCAGCTCCCATTCATTTCCCTGCTGGCTGGGGCTGACTGAAACTGTAGTTTAAAACATTTAGAGAGTACCAGGTTGATATCCCTCTATAAGTACGTCAAAGGCTGTCACAAAGAGGAAGGTCAAGAGCTCTTCTTGCTGTCCAGAGTGTAGGACACGGGATAATCAGTTCAAGTTGTGACAACCCAGATTCAGGTTGGACTTCAGGAAAAGCTTCCTGTCAGAACAATACTACAGTAGAACCAGCTGCCTAGAGAGGTGGCAGGCTCTCCCACACTAGAGACATTCAAAAAGAAACTGGACAGCCATCTGAGTGGAATGGTGTAATGTGGTGTTCTGCAATAGCAGGGGGCTGGACTAGATGGCCTTCATGGCCCCTTCCAACTTCTATGATTCTAAGATGTCTGGTACAGGGTAACCAAAAATAGCACATTATCAAAGTAAAATGTTACCAACTTGCAAATGAGCAACTTTTGCATTGTATTCAATATGCATATTTCAAAAGACACACAAGCACTTTCTAGAAATATTAATGGTATTAGCATAGGTCAGATTCATTCAATAGTCAGCAAACTGCATTTTAAACATGCCAAGTGTTTTGAACACAAAATGTTTATAAGTAAAACACACCATCCTCCACACGCACTAAATTCTTGCAGCTGTTGTCTTCCTTGCTGATTTTGCATGCATGAGATAAGCACTGGACAATAAAAAACTAAACTGCAAGGAATTCTCCACCTGGCCCATTTTATGAAGTATGGCAAGTGGTTGAGCATATTGAATGTGTAGAAGGAATATCGAGTGATCTCTGTCACAGTCCACACGACCAGAAAAAGAATAACACTCTCCTCATTCTGGATCTGTAGAAGTAGAAGAGCCAATATTTTCTGCATCCTTAACATTGCAATAAAAGTTAGAAATAAAGTTGCAGACATCATGCCCAAACCCATCTTTTTAGGAAGAATGCGTGTGTAACAATTTTTTAAAAACACTGGACACACCGAAAGACTGTCCACTGAACAGAAATAGTACATTCACATACACAATACAAAGGTGCTTACAGTTCTTCACTGTTCCTGAGAGCCTTTTTAGTTAGCTTCCCAAATAGTTCTTATTTTGTCTAATTGCTTTTGGATCAACCCTGTTACGGTGCACGTCTACTAAGAAATAAGCCCTACAGAGTTCAGTGGGCCTAATCCCAGGTAAGGGAATATTAGAACTGTACCTTTAGGAGCCCGTATTGGTAGTATGTATATAACTCATAGAATGCATCTATTTTTTGACGGGGATGCTATTTTGCTTACATGTTCTCCCTTTCTGTTTTGGTCTTTATGCCTTTACCCATCACTTCTAAGTCAGACCTCATGTCTATTATGTCACTTTTTCCATGTCCCCCTTTCAGTGCTAGGTATAAGATTTAGCAGCAGGGTGGGGGCGGAGGGAAGGTTTTCAGGCAGGGCACCTTCAGGGGACCCTCCTCACCAGGAAGAAGTGGGATGTGAAATTATTTCAAGCTGTATCCAGTATTTTTTGATGCTTTGTGCAGAGCAGAAACAGCAGCACAGCTACAGTATGGGCTCTTTGCTGGTCTTTGGATTCTGGCAAATGCCCAACTATGCCATCTGCTGGAGCTAGGTCTGCCCCCTTTGATAGGCTTTCACTGGCTTTGACATCTCCATATACATTTTGCTTTCGGCAAACAGTACCTCACTGTGACTTCTGCAACCAGAAGGAGGCAGCCACCTTATAGCAGTGATCTGGTCAGAGCCATTTCTGTGTGTTGCAAGAGATTACTTTGCCAAGGCCAGGGCAAGACATCTTGACCAACTGCGTAATGCTGTAATGCAGTACAAGACCTAGGGGCTGTGGACAGGTGTGGTCACCTGCAGCTTGATAAAAGACTGAGTCATTAAACCATCTTAGCAGGCAGCAGAGACCTACCCACTACTTCAAGACAACAGAACCTCTCAATAGTAGATGAAACGTCAACAGCAAATTAATTCCAAACTCTGAAAAGAAGGTGGGCAGGGAGCTATTTATTACATTCTGAGAAGATAAATTATAGACAAGTAATTTTCTTTTTGTTAAAATGGGAATAATTTTATAATAAACTTCTATGCCTGAAGACTAATAAAAGCCCCAGGGATGTTTCTGAAATAAAATAAAGCAACAAAGATGTCATTACAAGTACAAAAAAGGAGACCATGATTTTATCAAATGCACCATGGTGACAAAATCCAAATGCTGTGTTTACAGACATGCTGAGCATCTCAAGTATCATAAGAAATTGTGGCACTTGTGCTTAGATAGGGAGTATTCAAGGAGTAGTGCCAGGTGTTAGCCACTTTGGAACAATGTTTTGTATTATGCAGTACAATTTCATGTTTGCTTTACCCAGAAGCAAAAACCACTGTTTAACAGGGCTTACTTTCAGGGAAGCATACACAGGAGAGTAATTTTTTGTTAACATATTTCCCACCACTTTCTGGGGATGTTTAGCCTAATATCCTCTAAAAATCCTCTAAAAAGCTGCCCTGGATAATACGCAGCCTCTTGGCAATCGGGTTGTGGTGTTTCACAGGGCACTATCTTGCCCCAATATTGTTTGACATCAACTACAAAGGAGAGGTCATTAGGAAATCTGGAGCAAGTAGCATCACTGTGTGCGGATGTCACACAGCTCTATCCTTCTGTGACATCTGTGCCCAGAGTCAGAGATAGGCTGGATGAAGGCCTATGAGCTAACTGTTGCTGAAACCTGGTGAGACAGTGGCCCTGTTGGTGAACAGATTCGGGTCTGAGAGACAGGCTCATTGCTGGTTCTGGATGGGTCTGCATTCTGTTTGAAAAATCAGCTCCATACTCTAGAGATAGTCCTGGATCCATCTCTGGTTTGGGTGCTTCACCTGGTGCAGAATGCAGCAGCTCAGCTGTTTTCAGGAGCTGCCCCTTTTCAGCATGTGATGAATCTACTGGCGGGATTACACTTGCCTGTCTATTTGCTACCAGACCAGGTTTAAGGTTTTGTTATTGTTCAACAATGTAAACAACTTGGGACCAGAATGCCTGAGAGCCCGTTCTCTCTTACCCGCCTGTCTGGTCACTGGGGTCATGGTGGTTCCACATGGGCCTGTACTCCATATGGGCCAACCATGAGCACAGTACTTAGTGTGTTAGTTCCTTCCCTATAGAATTTGCTGCCTGGAACACTATTTTGATGCCTGCCAGCAAAGCTTTTACTTAAAGAAGTCTTCTCTAACTAATGAGCCATAGTTTAATTGACAATCTGGTTCCAAGGTTTTGATTCTGCATTTTAATCATTATTTTCCCATTATTCTTCATTTAATTTCATTTATTTCAATTCTACACTGTCCAATAGCCAAAGATCTTTGGGAATATTGCAGAGATTACAAGTATTAAGCAAAATATAAAAAACATTTAGCTAAATACAGCAGAAACATTCACACACCTATCCAAATGATATCCCATGACCCGATTAAAAACCTAGCATGAGCTAGGTCTTAACCTGGGGCCACAAAGAGAACAATATTGTTCACCATTCTGATATTGGTATAGAATAGTGCATACATTGTGCATTAGACTAGGTTCCCACTGCCCCCACTTTAAATGAAACTGGCATTCACAGTAAGAAGGAGAATATTTGGGAAATCCACTTCCATCATAACTCAGTGTTCATAGACATGGCCATAAAGAGGAAGGTCCTCCAGCCATCCTTCACGTAGGGCCTAGACTGGAGCTGGCACCATGTCTCTTCATCACTGGAAATGCCTGCCAGTGTTGACTCCCCGGCCCCTCCATGCACTGCATGTTCCATTGTGTGCAGAATTCCTCTATTGGCACATAGTAGGAAGCCCCAGAAAAAGATGTGTTTGCTGTACATGATGAAATCCAAATCCTATGTGTGCTGTATGAGTATCTAAGGACAGCTGATACCGTTAACTGACCTTTTGGTCAGTCTTTTGCTTATTTAGGCTATTTATATGTTTTAAATGAACTGTTGGGGAGTTAATATTGCATTGTAAATTATGATTATGCGTAATGTATTTTTTTGCTTTCATGAACTGCTTTGAGCACAATGTGTTGCAGAGAATGTAACCCATAAATAAACTGACTATAACTATTAATTCTTTCATATGGCTCCTACTAATGGTAAATGATTAGTAACCAACAAGGATATGCATCATTATACAGGCACACCATTTTACTGCACAGCCAAGAAAGACATTGTATAACATCTGGAATGCTCAGTTGATTAATTAGAAGCTTGTCTTGCATTAAAATGAGGACACTGTGGTTGCAAGAAAGCTAAAAAGAAAATAAAGGCTAAACCTGATGAAACAGAAGACCCATGGGCAGTACTCCCACTTAACTGAACAATCGTTGAAAATTTTATTGGAGTGACACTTAGGATGGGGTGGAGGAAACTGCTAATGTCAGTGCTGGCTCCAGGTGTTAGAGAGACTTTGGACAAGACACCCGCAAGCAGTCACCTCTGTTAGCACATCTGCCTTTGCACTGTCTTGTCATCAGCTACTATTGCCATTTGCTTCCTCCCTGTTGTGAGCATGTATTTTCCTTTCCAGCGGACCAAAACAAAAAGCTTATAAAATCCAGTCCTTTATTGGAGCTTCACTGGTTTTGCTGTGAGACAAGGAGCTTTAAATGAGAACTGTGAACAAGTTGCATAAATCAAGGGAACAATCCCTCTGATCTGTGAGAGCAGCTTCTGCCCACGTGAAGAGCAGATTCCAAAGTGAAACAGCCCTCTCTCCTTCCCTCTTTTTCCCACAGTCTTGATTCCACCTTGAGTTCATTCCACTTGTGGGCCAAAGAGCAGGAATGCCTGATGTTATATAAATGGCCTGTCCATTGGCCTGGTACCGTAGCATGAGGTCTAGGAATTCACTCTTCTCCCCTTGTTCTATATGGCATTTCCCCTCATGTCCAAGACAGTTTGGTTCACAGTCACTGCCAGACTTGCTTCTAAAACTTGACTTTTCAGGGTCACCTGCCAACTCCTCTCCTACCCTGTTTATGCCACATCCTGAATCTGAACGGCTGACAATGCTGCACTGTGAGAATGCTGGGCCCCATCCCCACATTCCTCATGGCCACCACTGGCTTGTCTGACAGGCAGAGAGCTGGTGAGCATGTACAGAGAGGCATCCAAGCACTCCTTCTCACCAAGAGTGTTGCCTGGGCCAGAGAAGGAGGCAGGTAGGGAAAAGGTTACAGCAGCAAAGAGAAGGAGTGGAGGTGTGTTTTGTCCATGGGCCCCTGCTGGGGTGCTCAACCGTGCCTACCCTAGATGTCAGTCCTGGCTAGATTTTTACCTTTCAAATAAAAAATGGCCCTCTCTGCTACTTTCCCACCTGTGAGGGAAAAGATACAGTCTCTGTGAGAAACAGCAGCTTTTGTTCTCTGTCTTACAAGGCACCTGTGTGCTTTGATTAGTGCTTGAGGCAAAACAGAGTAATTGCTGCCTTTTATGTTTTCAAAAGAATAGCAGCTTTTGGTACAGACAGAAATCTGTTTTGCACCTAGCATAATTTACCTGATGAAGGTTGCATAACACCTCTCCTCTTCCATTTCAATTACCATCTGCTTTTTCATCATGCCCAGCAATATTGTTCCTGCTGTTACTCCTCCCGTTACTTTGTTTTGCTTTTGGCTTTAAAATCCAGCAGTTTCAAAGAGGCCTGATCAACTCAAAGACCTGAACACTTTTCATTTTTCAGTGTAATGAATCGCTTTTTCTTCTACTGTAGTTTATTTTGCAATTTGGATGGTGAACCTAAGCCTGGCATGGGCAACAATAGCACCAATATTTAGAAAAACGGCATCTGATGAACCAATCCTGGAAACAAGTTTCAGTCTAAGCCATGACCAACTATTTAGCTAGTCACAGGGTTGGGACAGTTCGGATTCAGATGTGCTAAACAGAGGGGGCCATGGGATTCAGAAAAGAAGGGCAGGGATTTAAATTGTTATGCATGCAACACAAAAATTATGACAAATAATGAGACGGTTCTGAATATTATCCCATATTAGAAGATGGGCAAGTGCCATCTGCTGGTGAGACAGTCTAATGGCTCAGCCCTCCTTTGAAAGGCTAGCACACAGGTAATGTACACATGGACACACACCAAAATTGACACACATCATTCAGACCATAAACATCAAAGTAACATTGATCTCAGACTATGAAATAAAATATTGCAAAGCATTTTATATACTGGAAGCACTATAGGAAAGATACAGTCAAAGCTAAGAACTCCTGAACATGTTTAACTTAGACTTAATTCTTACTTTGTTAAATGAGATTTAATCCCCAGTTAAGTGATCTCCTGGTTGCTGTTCTAGATTCCAGTGCAAGAAAATTAAGCACATCTTTACTTTTCCTTTAAAATTGATTGGACTATTAAAATGCATCCAGACCTTGTCCTACTAAAATCCAGACCTTGTCCTACCAAAACCTTATCCTACTTTATGCCTACTAAAATCAAACAGATTTCAAATGATCAAGCATCTTTACCATAAAAGCAATAGCAGTTTTCTTAGATTGTCCAATAGAAGGGCTGGAGTTTCCTAATTGCATTCTGCAAATAAGATCAACCCTTGAAAATAATTTAAATTCTTATTAAAATGTATGGATCTTTGAGAAGAAATATCAACAGTGCAATTTCACATCCTATTAGTTTTACATTTAAAATGCTGCCCCCCACAAAATCCAAATGTCTTATCCAGTTCCACTTTGTCAGATCACCCAAATAAACTTTTACTACTTTTCCCAGAGTTTAAATACGATGGTAGTCTTTATTATAACTGTTAAAATGGCAGAAACTTTCCTATGCATCCTTAAAAAAGATGGAATTTATGCAAACAAAAAACTATCTGCATAAAGGTGATGCATTCAAACGCAAGACTTATTTCTACCTTCTCCATTCAACAGGTGCTAATTTTAAGTTCTCTCCAAAACAGCAGCAGCAGACAGATTGGTGAATAGGCTGACTAAGAGATGTGTCAGCCTTTGATCTAGTTTCATAGAGAGAGCAAACTAGGCAGCAAGCCAATGTAGCTCAGATATCCATCTCCAGTAGGCTTCAAGTTCTCATCAACCATGTGTAATGTAGATGCAGTTGAGGAACCTTTAAGTTTTTCCCGGCATTGCTTCGTGCAGTTAGTCACTTTCAGTCCTGTAAGAGTTCCTTCCGACCTGCTGCGGATGGTTCTATGCTGACATTTAAATAGTCATGACTTGCTATCAAAACATGTTTTACTACTGTTGTGATAGAGGGTAAAGCAAAGGGACAAGACTTTTTTTTGAAGACTTACCTGCTTTATACTATGTGTAATGAACCACACCATGAAGATCCGGGAACTCACTTGGACCCCAGTCACGAGCACAGATGTGTGCACTACTCCTTAAAAAGAGAAACATGTCATTTTTGTCCCCTAGGACAGGATTATGCTTAGTTAACTGAGAAAGTGAGAAAGACTCACCAATTGCACAGTGGAGTATCTGTAAATTAAGGAAAAGAGACAGAATTAAAAACTGAGTGTTTCAAACTCATGCATATCAGAGCAAGGGTGAGCAGAAAGGTGGAAAACCAAAATATCTGAAGATCTACCTTTCATCCATCTCTAGAGGCTATTGATTTAAGCCTAGGGTGGGCAACTGGTGGCCCACCAGTTAGATGAAGGTGAGTGTGATGGTGCAGTGGCTGGAGTGCTGGAGTGGGGCTCAAGAAAGCCTGGCTCTAGCCCTTACTCAGCCATGAAGCTCACTGGATAACTCTGGGCCAGTCACTGACTCCCAGCCTAACTTCCCGCACCGGGGCTGTTGTGGGGATAAAAATGGAGGCCAATCCTGCGAGCTGCCCTGGGTTCCTCCACGTTGAAGAAGTAGGATATAAATGTAGTAATAAATAAATGTTCATTGTTGGGCTGTTACTCCCAGCAGTTCCAGCTGACATAGCCGATGGTAGAAGTTGTACTCCAACAACATCTAAGGAACGCAAGCTGTCTGTTCCCAAATGCTACCGAATTGTGTGAGCAGTAAACATTCTTGGGAAAATGGGTTGTACATTATTTTCACAATGGACTACACTTTGTGGGTCTCTTAAAGAATTTTCTCCCTGTCCCCACACCAAAAAGTATACTACTCAAAAACTCACCTCAAGTAAAGCAAAAGTCTGGAAAAATTTAAGTGTCTTTTGAATGCTTTTGTACAAGCCTTTGTGTGTTCCTTTGTCCATATAAAACCGCACCATGGCAATAGCCAATACCAGCCACCTAGACAGAGGCAAAACAATATCCTTAATAAAGAACACACAATTAATTCATTAAAAGTGCAATCTCAGGCAAGTTTGGATGGAAAAATACTTACAATTCCAATCACTACCCAGCCAGCTATCTTGGCATGCAATTTTCTGTCTAAATTTGCATAGGATTGCACCCTTATTCAGTTACTATTTTCTATACATTTTTCATACATATTTCTCGTAAACTGCATAGTATGTCTTCCATTATCTCAGAAACACATTTAATATAATTAGCAGGAATTTCTACAATTATAAAGTTTTTTACACATTCAGAATAAAAACTATAGCATAGCTAGTCTGTGGCAGAACTGTTTGCTGATTTAATATTTAAATCATTTTTATGCAACTTGTTAGCCAGAAAGGCTCCCAGAGAAACGTATGCACAAACCAACTTACGCACAACCAACAACTTATGCACAAAACCAGTCCCTCACTGTGGGTGTACCATCAAAAGGAAAGGAAAGGAAAGGACAGGACACAAAAGGAAAAGCAATGGGGATGGAAGAGAAAAAACCCAGGAAGTCTTATAGGAGGTTTGGTAAAATAGGGCTGCTTCCCATCTCATCCACAGACTGGAATGGCTGCTGTTAGTCCCAGTATACTCAGAAGGAAATGTAGAGTGGGCTGGATTTAAAGAGGTTAACTTTGCTCAGCAAAGGCATTCCTTAAATAAATCATAGCAACTCATCAAGTGAATCCTCTCTCTAATCTCACCTGCTATTCATGCTCCATTTGAAATTGAGCCCTTCGCAGTCAGGTCAGCAAGGCAGTACCAGACAGGGGCTCCATTTCAAGCGGAGGATCAGAGTCCTCCCCGGCAGCAAATCCAGCGTTCCCACGCAAGGCCACCCTTGCCATGAAGAAGTGTGAAACAACCAGTTTCAGGCAGTGCGGGGTGGGAGGCAGTGGAGAGAATGGCCAAGGGCAAGCATCAGTGCTGCACGTCTTAAGGTATTTGCCAGTGTGCAGGGAGGCAGCAATAAAACATCTCATGATGTTTGCTCAGGAGGAAAGCAAAGCTCCACCAGATAACTCACCTTCCTGCAAACAAAACTGGAAGTGGATCTGTAAACAGACATGTTTACTCAAGATGTGAACTGAAGTAGCTTTTTCCTTGGACACGTCCCAGAGACACACTGTTAATGTGATAACTTGAATAATACATGTGCAATAATACTTTCCGATTGACAGTCCTTTGGTCATATTTAACATGGTTGCAAATCATGGAGCTGTTTTGGAGCACTCCCTTCATTTTGCTGCCTGTTCCCTGAAACAGGCTGCTGCTGAGTTCAGCAATTTGCAGCAAACTGGAATAATGGATCAAATAAGAGAAGACTGTTTAGCTGGCTGTGCAACCTTCAGTCAGTCTATTCGGGCCTGCTGTGGTTCCTTATTTTATCCAGCTGAGGCACTGGAATGATTTTGCTTACACAAAGGCTTATCTAATGAGCCAATCCATACAGTCAGTCTTCCAATATGGGCCAGTACATATTATTCATCTTTCCTGGGCAGGAAGCTGTAATAAACCTGTCTTGTCATACTTGATATTTCTAACTTGCATGTTAAAGGAGCAGACCTGTCCAAGGTTTCAGAAGAACAGTCAGCCTAAGGTTCTTTTGTACTTCTTGTCTGACAACCAAAACCAAGCCCTTCTCTCTTCTAACCACTCTCAACATAGTACCTTGATGTAGATCCTTTGCTTGGCCTTTCCCAGAAGCCTAACTTGGCATGCTAATAAAGCTTACTGCCAGTGGAGGCTTTCATTAGCACTGGGATGGCAACCGCGAATTAGATGAGTTCTTTGATTAGTTTTCTACAAGCCCTGCCTCCAGTTCAAGGCTGAAGTTGGCTATGGAGGCTCTGGTCTTTTTAGCATAATGCCCACATCCAGCTACTGTGGCTGTGTGTGTGCAAACCAGGAAAGCATGGCTTGTTGGGAGTTAGCAGCAACCCTCCAACAGTCCATGACTTATTTGAGGATTGGTGCTCACACCAGGGAGGCAGGTGGCCCACGTTTGCAGGACATGGCAACCCATAAGGGAAAGGGTAGATAGGCAAATTTTGCTAGTGTGTGCCATGTACCTGCAAAGGGGGGAAATAGGCAAAAGTGACCATGATCATGTGAACCTGATCATTTACCCAAGTCGCACAACTGCAGTGTGATTAACAAGCCATGATGGTTTGTTAACCTTGCTGCCTATGCCGGGCAGACTTCCATAATTACCCTTCCTAGTGTGGTTTGCTGTGTTATCCAAACCCATGTAGTGCAGCTTGCTTGAGCAGGAGCAAACCTCATATAACCCATGCCACATGAGATCAGTCAACATAGCAAGCTGTACAAGTGAAGGTAATTTGGGAAATCCATCTGGAATGTAATCTGGGGGAAATAGCCAACATGACTTGTTCCTCTTACCCTGATTGTGCAAACTGGCCCATTGACAGGTGATAGAACAACTTCGACAGAATTTCGAGGGTTTGAAATCAATAGGCATGCTAGCTTGGGATGATAGGAGTAGTAGTCCAAAACATTTGGAGCCCACCAACTTGGAGAGGGCTACTTTCTTCCATGGGTTTGCCTGGTAAGGTGATGTTATCATCCTGTATCTTTTGTGAAATATTACAAGGTCCCCAGATTGTATCATCTTCATTGTGTATCCCTCCAATATTTTTGTTGCACTACTTTTATCTTTAATGGGAAGAAATCCATTAAGGAAGAAAGACAGAGTGACTGACTGTTGGTGCTAGGAGTCCTCCATCTGTGAGCCCCACATCAAAGAATGTAACCAGACTTACTTATAATCTTACTTTTTATGTTTTGATTTCCAAGAGATCCAATATTCTAGGGGAAAAAAACTTTTTATTTTGCACAGTAATCTAATAGGATTCATGGTTCTAAACACTTTTGTGTAAACCGTCTTGAGATTCTGTGATGATTTGACAGTATAATTTTTAAATGAATGAATAAATGTTGTGAACAATATTTTTGCTATGAATAGATATACATTAATGGGTATTTTGGGCTTTTATGGAAAGTTTCAAAGAGAACTGAAAGCCCTGTGTACTGATTACCATCTACGTATTATAGGAGGAAGCATCATAACTACTCTTACTGTGATGCCTTGAATATTAATTGGAAAATTGGAAAATGGTACAAGCTAAGCTCCTGCTTAGCTCCAGATTTTGCCAAAAAAGCATGCTACATGTGATGCACAGTATCATATTTGGCACCAGCATTCCTGTAAATTGCATTTTGCTAGGCTTGCATAAGCTATCTCTAGCACAATGCCAAAACATTTGATGGTGTGACAGGCTTCTTTTTACACTAACCTACTATAATTTACATTAGCACCACTGCCAAATGGGACACTGCCTGCTAATCCTCGTCTCCATTTTATCCTCAGAACAAACCTGAGATATAGGTCAGGCTGAGAGTGAAAGTCTGGCTTGGAATCATCCACTGAGCTTCATGGCCAAGTGGTGACTAGAACTCGGATCTCCTCCATCCCATTCCAGGCACTAAAATCACAGCCATGCAAATCCACCATTTCAAGCTTCCATTTCCAAGTATTCTACATGTAGAACTATCACCCAAGAGTTGAACTAGATTGTTTAGAAATCCATACATCACCTTATCATTTCTGCCTACTTTTTACTTTCATATTGGATTAAGACATGTTAATGCTTCAGACCAGGGCTTGTAAAAATTCTCATACCAAACAATCAAACAGCCACGATCTAATTGAATAATAAATATATAATAGGATTTCGACCCTATTATGCTAAGACAGTAATCTTCAAATCAGACCCGTATTATACATTTAGATGCTCTCTCATCAAGGCAAGACAGTCCGTGTGCTGTGATAGTTAGAGTGATGGGTGGGGATTCACAAGATCTGGGTTCTAGTCCCCACTGAACCATGAAGTTCACTGGGTGACTTTGGGCTGACGCTTAGCCTTACCTACCTCAAAAGGTGGTTGTGAGTTTGCAGTGAAGGAGGAAGTTATGTAAGCTTCCTTGGGTTCTTTGCAGGAAAAAAGGGATATAGATATAATATATAAATATAAGTAAATGTTGAAAGATTTTTTCACAGCCAAGAGTGATGAATGCCAATGTAAAGCATAACTACTTCTACACTTTTGCATAGGGTGCAGCAGGCATAGGATGAAAAAGCAATCAGCAGCTCTGCATCCCAACATTCTACTTTTCTATAGATCCTATAGCTCTTGGTCTATGGTTCTTTATTCTTGCCAAAAAGCCATTTACAACCAATTCTGTTGCTTGCCAGGTGACACAGCAAAGATGGACTATTCATACAGACAGTGAAGTCACAGTGAAGGAGACATCCCAGGAGGAGATCTCTTAGACCCATTCCTCAATTCCTCCTGGCTGTATTGCAAGTCTGTGAAGCCACATTTTGGATGAGCATCTAAAGGAACTCACATATCCAAAACGTGAAAAAGCCCTTCTTTGCAGGGGAAAAAAATGTAACATATACATATCCTTGGGCAACCATTGTACAAATGCTTATTTCATCATGCACATTAGTCAGGACATAAGCACCAAACTATGCACGCTGATAGATGCATGCTTTCTGAAATACAAATTACCTCTTTAGGAGGTGGCGGACCATAACTGATCATTACTGGGATCAGCAATCAGTGCAGAGAGAAGGAACCTAGCCCTTCCCTTCCCTCTTGCAGTCTTCAATGGAATCCCTCATCCAAAGCTGGTGCATACATTAGGTCGAGATCCCCCACTGGCATCAGTGGTGGGTTTCCCCAAAGGCAAATACCAGCTTTGCAAGCAAGATCTTCCTCAAGATCACAGAGAGGAGGAAAAGGATGACTCCCTCCCCCAGACTGTGATTCTAATTATTATCTCCCCAACAAAGAGATGTTATTTGCTTTAAAGGCAAAAGCACCTCCCTCCACACACACACACACAGAGAGTAAAAACAAAGATACATTTAGGCTGCAGCTCTGTGAGGCTGCCCATTACCCACTCAACTTGGAGAATTAGGAGGCCTCCTGTGCAGGGAGGGAGGCACATGGAGGCAATGGTTTCTTGCACACTCCTCCCACCCTCCAAAGCAGACAGCTTATTTCAGCCTCCAAACTGGCATGCCTGGAAGGATAGGAAAGAGGCTGAGGTACCACCAGGATTCATCATACCTTGATAGCACCTGGCTGGCTGCTTCTTCAAAGTTGTAAGACTTGGAAAAGGGGTTTACTGGGCTTTCCAGGGAGGGAGGGAGTAGACCAGCACCATAAAGCTGATATTGGGGCCTGGATACCAAAAACACTTAGGACTCACTAGATGCTATCTGGGTGCCACAGGGCTGCTTTGCTAATGCCACAGCTACTTTGACTCTTAAGAAGCAGAATACACACCAGATCATTGTCATTTCACTTTATCTGTTGTTTGCTTGATTTTCTGCAAGCTTGGCATTATAGGGTGGCATTGTGGGATGCTAGAGCCTGGGGCTTTGGAAGGATCACTGCCATTGAGTCACTGGCCCCTGACCCCGTAAACTCCCTTCTGTCCTGCCACCACCTTTTGTTATTACTGGACAACGAACTCCCTGCATCTATGTGAACACAGCACAATGAGCTTAGTGACTGCATCTAAGCCATGGTGCTTGAAGATGGCTCAGCTCAGAAGCTGGAGAATGATATGCCCACCTACCAGCACCTGGGTAGCTACCATTTGTTGCTGGCTTGCTGTTAGGGGCCACATCATTCCGCTCTGTAGTGGCAGGCTGCAGGCCTGCCTGACAGTCTAAAAGCAGCTGATACTGCTTCTTCAGTCCTGGCCAGTATGGCGTTCGCATCTGTAAAGAAAGAATTGAAAGATTCTTTCTTCTTGTGTCATTGTTACCTGAATAAAAATAAAATTGTTCTTTATTAATATGGATTGTTTCCCTTTTTGCTACCCTGGGCCTTGCCCAAATTTCTGGGAAACTAGCTCATTAATTAAATTCTGCTCTTTTTATAGTACCATCACTCAAGTACATCTTGAGCACAGTGTAGTTCCTCTCTGGCAAGGATGTACAAAATAGCAATCCACCTCTACACTGAATACTTAGTAAATAATGGAACATTTTTGCCAGACATCCATGGTTAGGGCTGGAAAAAGTGTAGATACACTTTCTCATTGAAAGTAAGATTAAAATAGTGTCCTATATTTAGAAATGTGGCATGTCAGGTAAAGGGTCTCCCCTAGAATGCTGGTCTTCTGTGTGCAAGGATTTTTAAAATGGGGTGAGCATTAACTAGTGTATCTAGGAAAATATTTGTTGTCATTGTGTTTGTGCCCTATAAATTGGCTCTATCCATTTAGTCCCTTGCATGCCAGAGAGCTAGTGTGGTGCAGTTGGGAGTGTGAAACTGGGACTTGGGTGGTCTAGATTCTAGTCCCTGCTCAGCCATGCAGTCAACAGAGTGACTTTGGGCCAGTCACAGACTCTCGGCCCAACCAACCTTATAGGGTTGTTGTAAGGATAAGATTGGGAGGAGACTTATATAAGCTGCCTTGGGTTCCTTGAAAGGAAACAAGGCAGGATATTGTCAAGAGTGAAAAAAGGTCCCAGAGAGAGTCTGCCGAGGGTATATAATCATTTACACTTTATTCAGACTTACAGGAAATACATGTGGCATGTAGGCAGTCCCCAAAGAAAGTACTAATATGGGCTTTGTACAGAATGCTTTTATAACCTATCAGTTACATACACAGATTGGAGGAAGGGTGGGGGATCAGCTATACAGTATGCTAAAGGCACATTATAATAAAGCAATAGGGGATGAACACAATAGATGGACACAATGAACACAAGAATCTTCAGGAAAGGCAGACATTAGCACGTCTAAGGTGTGCTCCAAAGGACAGGCCTTTCAGGACAGGGATCTTAGCATTTCTAAGGTGCACTTGGGAAGCAAGACTGGATTCCATCTCAGATCAGGATTCCCATCCTCAGTCTAAAGCTGTTCTTACAGTATCAGATTTTTTTAGCAGCCATATTATGACAGAGCTTTTGCTCATTTTGTCCTGGCAAATATAAATATGTGTACTCAGAAGTAATTCCCACTGTGTCCAAAGGAGCTTACTCCTAGGACACCATGCACAGGATTTATTTCATCCTTACAGTCCAGTGCTGCTCAGGTCGCTGAACTCAGAAGGAAATACCACGGAGTTCAACTAGGCATGTCCTGAAGAAGGAGGCTCCGAATTACAGCCTTGCGCTACAATTCTACACTAACATTGCTTGGGAGTGAGTCCCACCAGAATTTCTTCAGGGAAAGCATAGACAGGACTGAGCTGTGAGTTACTTCTGCGGGCCGATTTGCAGCTTCCCAACTCAGCAATAAGTTTCTTGGAGCTGAAAGGCGTTACCAAGGCCCTTTAATACTGTGTCGCCCAGGGGCTCATTAAAAGGAAGAAAAAGAAAGCCAGCGGCGGGCGCAGTTTTTGGTATAGCTCTCTTTCAGCCGCCGCTCAGCTCGGGTTACCTTGGCCAACCTTACCTCGGCCGAGCCTAGTACAGTAGGTAGGCGGGACCCCACGGCAGGGGCAGCGCGCGGCGAGCAGCGGGCGAGTGCCGGGGGCGGCATCCGCAGTAAATTATGCCGAGGGAAGCAGCCTGCCCCATTCCACCGAGCCGCCCGGCATTCCGGGCCCAGGCTATACTTAACCTCTCCAGCGGGCTCGAGGCATGACGCGCTTGCCTGGCTGGAAGGCTGCACCGTATTAGGAAATGCAGACGAGCCAAAGCTTAACACCCCCCCCCCGCGCGCGCGCTCACCCAGGCGCCGCTCTCCTCCTCCTCCTCCTCCTCCCTCCCCTCCGAGCGGCAGGTGCATCCCGGGCCATTGTTGTGGAGGGGCGGGGGGGAGGGAGGCACGCCCCCCCCTCCCCCGGGTTGCGGGGCGACTGCGGCGAAGCGGGACTTCGGCCGCCGCTCGCTCCGCCGGTCCCGGGCACTTTCGCCGCGCCCAACTCACCCCGCAGTCATGGTGATGTTGTAGAAGATGAGCCAGGCGGTGGTGATGGCGCCGCGACGCCGAGGGCCCTTCTTGCCGTTCTCCTTCTCTTCCAGCGAGCCGTTGCCGGCTCCGCTCTCCTCCTCGCTGGACGCCATGGCTTCCCTCCCCGGAGGCTAGGTGGAGATAGACGGGGACACGCGACGGCGGCGGGAAGAGGACTGCGGAGGAGGAGGGGTCAGGCTCAGGCAGCGCTGACAGCTGGAGGGGCCCTGGCGCTCGCCCCATCGGTCTTCGCAGAGCCCGAGCGCAGCTGCTCCTCCTGGCCAGCTGCTCCAAGGCTGCGCCCGCCCCCGCTCGCGCACACCCTTCGGAGAGCGGCGCCCGACTGGCCCGCGCGTGCGGATGGGGCACAGGGACTGGCGCACCGTCCTGTCCAGCAAGCGGCGATTCGCCTGCTGCCTCGTCGCCTCCCGCTCAGACGGGACCACTTTCCCGCCTTGCAAGAGCTGGCCCGTGTAAACCGTGAGTGTGCCGCCACGGAAAGTCCCTTAGCCGTGACCGCAAAGTAGAAGCCGGTGCCACGTACGTCTTCAGAACTTATCCAGCAGAGCTCATCTTGGGTTCTGGAGTATTTGGGGTATATACGAGCGGCGCACCATGGGGAAACCGTTCCTATAAATTCGGAGGGGAAAATGCAATACACTTGCCTGTGGTTGCATTCACAGATAATGTGCAAGGTGGCTGCAGTCTCCTGCGTTTCTGATTGATGATGTTGGACTAGCTTCCATCAGCCCCAGCCTGCATAATCGGTGGACTATGGTAATTTGCCGTCCAGTATCCCTGTGGTGGTTAGAGTGTCAAGAATGAGAACCTGGGAGACCCAGGGTGTAGGCCCTGCTCAGCCATGAAGCTCACGAGGTGACTTGGAGCCAGCTGCTCTTGCTCAGCCTAACCTATCTCACAGGGATGTTGTTATGGGAATAACATGACATTGAGGAAGGCTATGTTCGTCTTGGGCTTCCCACAGGAGAAAAAGAGGCAGGATATAAATGTAATGTAAACTGGACAGCCATCTGAGTACAATGGTGTAACTTGGTGTCCTGCATGGGGTTTGATTCGGGGACCTTCATGGCCCCTTCCAACTCTACTATTCTGATTCTATGTAATGATATAAATAACAGCACCATATTTTACATCTCTTGTATGAATAAAGATCTAAAAAGGAAGAGTCTCTCTCATACATATTAATTGACTTATCTGGCATCAAGATGTGTCTATTATCAGTAGCAACTATTTTGTGACTGGTCACTTGTAATGCAATGGTCACTGCTGTTATTTTCTGTATTTCATTTCCTTCAGGCTTCACCACTTACAGTTCCTGCATGTATGGAAACACCATAGGTATATATACCTGAAATTCTCAATAGTACACCATGTCTGTATAAATAAATTTGTTGGTCTGTAAGGTGACACAGGAATCTTTTTGGCTTGAACCTTGGGCAAACTAGAGGAAATGAAAGCAGCACCTTTTATGCTAATCTCTGCTCTTTCAGGCAACTGTTCACAAACCTTATGCAACACAAGTAGGAAATAAAAGAGGCACGTCTGGCCAAACATACATGCCCAAGGGCAGAAATACATTACATTACTATACAGATTGAGCTGGCATTGAAGAGTCAGTGTTGATATATTTAATTCATGAAACTGGTGTATTAAGACAGAAAGGGAGGGAAAAAATCTTGATTTTAGTAGAGAAACTGTTTTGGTGATACTTTAATCATTTTCTTTTTAATAGAGCTTTACTGCTTTTATTTCCATTGTTGTACACTATCTTAATGACACTTGTGAAATGGCAGTCTGTAAATATTTTATTCACAGGATTCAAGGTACCACAGAAAAATTTCTGTATTCCTCTTAACAAAGACCCATTTCTACGCTATTTAGGCCACAATCCTGCATATATGTAGAGCATAAGTGTACCCTTGATGCTGGTAGGTTTCTGAAGTTAGAGGCATTGGTGCAGATCAGTGGAGCAGAAGACATACCTCCTGCTCTACAATTCAACTTGAAGGCTGTTTTGGCTGTCTAGATGAGGCACTTGGGAGAAGAAGGAAGATGCACTGTATCCTGGCAGCCCCATTTTCCTCCACTTGCTTCCTTGCAAGATGCCTCCTTTACCATCCCTCTAAAGTTGATTTTCATACATTAGAGAGGCACCCAGTGCTGTCCTTTTCACACTATTCAAGGTGCAATTCTCCAATTCTGAGGTTGGAGTTCTATTTCCAACTTTGGATCTGGAAATCCAAGGTATCCTGTGACCCCCTAGAAGTTATCTGGGGGCTATAGGATTGCTCTTTTAAACAAGCTACTTGTAAGTCCTACAATTCTCAGTTTTGCCCAGCTGTCATGGATGATAGTTGTGGGAGATTTCCTGTTGCACGAGATGGAAAACATAGATTGTTGCTGGTGAGTATCCTTATAGGTTGGGCAACTAAGGTGGTAATATTTGCTTAAAACAATCACTTTGAGGAAGCAGCTGCCCCTCCAACAGAGCTACATAAACACAAACCAGTCCCAGTGGCAGTCACAAATGCCACTCTGTCCCCATATGTATTTTGGTAATAGTATTACTAATAATGCCATCTATAACATCAGACATTTACACCCCTGCTCATCTTTCATTGTGATATGCCATCATTTGTCAGCAATTCTTTATTGCATCCCACATAGAACAAACAGGTCAGTTTCTGTACAAAATAATACATGGTTACAAAACTGACATTAGAAAGGCTATATGCAGAAACTATATAGCCATTCTGGGAACATTTTAACCTCCCATGATACTCTGTCAATGATCTTAAAATGGTCATTTTTGACAAAGGAATTTTAAAGACACATCAGCCTGGAATTGTTGAAGTATACTGAGTGTTTTGATTACAGACAAATGTGTTTCAAACAACAACACTACATATGCTCTGGTAACCTCCCGGTTGAACTGATGTAACATGCTCTGCGTGGGGCTGCCCTTAAAGATGGTCCAGATACTTCAATTTGTTCAAAACAGATCTGCTAGATTGCTGTCGGGCTGGTCATTATTCTCATATAACACTGGTCCTCTATCAGCTTCACTGGCTTCCCACTGAAGTCTGGGCCCAATTTAAGGTGCTGGTATTGACCTATAAAGCCCTAAACTGCTTGGGACTAGGATACATAAAGGAACATCTTTTTCCCTACATGCCCTCCCATTCCTTAAGATCTGCAGCAGAGGCCCTGCTCCAGGAACCCTCCTTGAAAGAAGTTAAGAGAGAATATACTGGCAGGAGGGCCTTCTCTGTTGTGGTGGCCTGGCTAAGGAATGCGCTCCCCAGAGAGGTCTGCCTGGCACTGACTTTTTGGTGCCAGGTCAGCTGCTTTTTATTTTCCTGTAATTTTAATGTTTAAATATTTTAATCATGTTTTATGCTCAGTTGTGGATTATTATGGATTTATATGTATTTATTGGGTATTCTGTTTGTAAGCCATCCAGAGACACATAATATTTATTTATTTATTTATTTATTTATTTAGGAGACTTCAATGCATCCGGAGACACATAATATTTGTTTGTTTGTTTATTATTTATTTGACTTCTATGCTGCCCCATTCGCCGAAGCCTCGGGGTGGCTCACAACCATAAATAAACTTCAAAATAGAATAATATAAATTAACAATATAAATTAACAATATAATTTAAGTCACCCTGGCCAAAGAATAAAATGAATAAATAATATTAACAATTAAAATAACATTTGAATAAAAAGGTCTTCGCCTGGCGCCAAAAAACAAATAACGACTGCGCCAGGCGGACCTCTCTGGGGAGCGCATTCCATAGATTGGGCACCACCGCAGAGAAAGCCCTCCTTCGAGTACTCACCCTCCTAATTTCTTTCACGGAGGGTTCCTGGAGAAGGGCCTCTCCCGCAGATCTCAAGGGGCGGGTGGGTATATATGGACGTAAGCGCTCCTTCAGGTAACTGGGACCCAAGCCGTTTAGGGCTTTATAGGTCATCACCAACACCTTGAATTGGGCCCGGACTTCAATGGGAAGCCAGTGAAGTTGACAGAGGACTGGAGTCATGTGAACATAACGCCCAGTCCCCGTCAGCAGCCTGGAAGCTCTATTTTGAACCAATTGAAGTATCCGGACCATCTTCAAGGGTAGCCCCACGTAGAGCGCATTACAGAAGTCAAGTCGGGAAGTCACCAACGCGTGTGTCACTGTCGCCAGGCAGTCGTACTCCAGGTAGGGGCGCAGCTGATGGATCAGCCAAAGCTGAAAGAAAGTGCTCCTCACCACCGCTGTCACCTGAGCTTCCAGTGAAAACTCTGGGTCAAGGAGCACTCCCAAGCTGTGAACCCTGTCCCTAAGAGGGAGTGCAACCCCATTCAGGACTAGGTTCAGTTCACCCTCCCCGAAGCCCAATCCGCCAACCAGCAGGACCTCCGTCTTGTCTGGTTTGAGCTTCAGTTTATTGGTCCTCATCCAGCCCATTACCTCGGCCAGGCACTGGTTCAGCACAGCCACTGCCTCACCTGGATTGGTGGAAAATGAGAGGTAGAGCTGGGTATCATCAGCGTACTGGAGATTCTGCAGCCCACACCTCCTGATGACCTCTCCCAGCGGTTTCATGTAGACGTTAAACAGCAAAGGGGACAAAATGGATCCCTGCGGTACTCCATGGCATAGCTGCCATGGTGCAGAGCCATAGTCCCCCAGCACCACCTTCTGGAATCGGCCATTGAGATAGGAGCAGAACCACTGTAAAGCAGTGCCTCTGACCCCCAGTCCCGCTAGCCTATCCAGAAGAATACCATGGTCGATGGTACTGAAAGCCGCTGAGAGGTCCAGAAGAACCAACAGGGACGCACTCCCCGTCTCTCTCCCTGCACAGGTCATCGTACAGGGCGACCAAGGCAGATTCAGTACCGTACCCGGGTCTGAAGCTGGACTGAAATGGGTCCAGATAATCAGTTTCATCCAAGAGTGCTTGGAGTTGTCCCACCACCACCCGCTCCAACAGCAGCTATATTTTTTGCATTTCTGTTCCCTCTAACAACATGGTTTACATTCTCTTCCCCACCCCATATCAGTTTAATAGTTCAAGCATCTGATAAAGTGGGCTGTAGTACATGAAAGCTTATGCCAACATAAATTTGTCAGCCTTTAACATACTACAGACTCTTTTATGTTAAAATTGCCATAGTATTTCCTGCAAAGAGCAAAGTCATCTTTCTGCCTACTTTTCACATTCAACCCTAGCAGACTGTCATTATAGATTTAACTTGCTCCTATTGTTCTCTTAGACCTCTGATTTAATATATTCCTTAATGAATGGGGTGAGAAGCCTCTTTTAAGAAAAATCTACCTATGGACACTTCTGTGGAGATTTATGACTCAGCCAATCTCCATAGCAGTAGGGAATTAGCCAGGCAAAACTTGGTCAACAAATTGATTCATGCTGTTAGGGCACAATCCTATGCATGTTTAGATGGAAAAAAGTGCTATAAATCCTGGCATCCCTCCAGCCAGTCATACAGGTGGGGTCATGCTGGGAACTGTAGGGCTTTTTCCCCTGTCTAAACATGCATAAGCTGTTTAGATGTCCATCCTTAGTAACTTTTCACAACCATAGACTCAGAACTTGGGGATTTCTTAAGAAAACATTCAGACTAAACCCAAGCACATATCAATACTTTTGTTGTTGTATTTACTTGCCTGTCACATATTGCTTTGGGCTCTAAATTCAAGGAGTAAGCAACTGGACCAAAAACTCTGTTCATTCCATCCCCTCCTTGGTGCTTACACCCTAGTTCACTTACAAAGGTCAGTGGTTGTGCAACAGCAAAACCTTGTGGAAATCCAGGGCTCTACTCAGCAAAATGAGTAGGAAGGACTGCAAACACAAGGCTGATTTACCATGTTTTAAAGTAAGTGAAAGATTACACATTACCCTGTGAAAATAAGACCATCAGTCCAAAGTTTAAAATTCCCCAACTGCACCATTGAATACAGCAAGTTTTTCCAGTCCCAGTGACCTGCATATGTATTGGACTACACCTTGCAGCACCCACATCCAGCCCTTCTGGACATTTGGAGCTCACCAGATCTGGGAAGGCTGTATTAGCTTGCAAGTATATCTGAAACAGCAAAATGCGGTTCAGTATTATGTTTGCTAACCAGCATCTTAAACCACAGTTTTAAGCTGGTTTAAGACACTTGAGATATTGCAGCTTGGCTCTCCTTGGGATTACTGGTGTAGCAGGGTTAACATTTAATGTAATTCTTCACATTTAATGGCCCAATGGAAGAAAAATTAAGTCACAAGTGGTTATAGACAGTCACAAGCCATTAATACTCTTGCACTAAGCAAGAGCATGGACCCGATGGCCCTCAGGCCCCTTCCAATTCTACTATTCTACGGTTCTAGCTTATGACAAGGGCATCTCATTGCAGGAGTCAAGACCACCGCCTAAGCAGCGGTTGGAGGGGGGCAACATTCCTAAGAACAATACAATACAACACAACAAAGAGACTCAAAATCCGACTGTATGCATGACAGGAGCACAGCGCGTGTATCGCGCGCTCCCTCCTCACTCCCCGCCGCTGAACTCCTGCTCGCGTCTCGTCATCAGGCAGCGCGCAGGACGCCCTCTTTTTTCCCAGTATGCCCTGCGAGGCCGGCTCCGGAGTCGGCGGTGACTGTGGAGAACCGCGGGGAGAGCGCGGTGAAGGGCTGAGAGGCGAGAGAGTGACTGAGCGAGCGGGGGCGGAGCTTCGGCCGTCGCGGGGCCTCTCTCCCTTCGTCGCTCAGCTGAGGCGTCTGTTGCTGCTGGTGGTCCCCCTCCCCTCGCCCGAGGGTCAGGAGGGCGGGAGAACGAAGCTCGCCTCCTGCCTGCCCGCGCCGCCTCGGAAAGATGCCGCTCTTCACCAGCAACCCCTTCGACCAGGATGTGGGTGAGTCCGCGGAGGCCCGCACGGTCGCCCCAGCCTGGGCCCAAGCGACAGCAGTTCTCTTCATCCCCTCACCGGTCCCCTCCGTGGGGAGTAGCCGTTGCATCCCTAGGATATGACCCATTTCTTTTCCCCCGCCCCACCCGGATGCTGTCGGGTCTTGTGATCCTTTCTTCTTCCCATATGTTAGGTTAGGTGGGGCGTATGCTGTATCGCGTGCCTTTTTTAAAAAATTTAACCCGCAAGTTACCAAGAGAGGCCTGTGGCTAAGGTGCTAAACGAGACCCCTCCCTTTATTTTTAGCTTTTTTTATAGGGTAAAACGAAATTTAAAAACGAAGTGTTACTCTTAACCCCCCCTCAAAAAAAAAATAAAATAAAATTCAGCTTGCTTCTCTACTTTTCCCTGCCCTTTTGTACAACAACAAGGACAGGAGGGAATTCACCTTGCGGTTGACTAACCCAGGGTTGGCTTTATTAGCAAGTTAACTGTAGCTTTAATAAGGTGAACTGTAATAACAATATTAATGAACAAATCTCAGTATTTGATTCCTATATATATGTTCATATATATATTCCTATATATATGTTTGTTCAAAAGCATGAAATATAAGTAAACATAATGGTCCATCACTGTTTTTCTAGTTCTCATCTTAGTGTTTTTCTTCTATTTTCTCTGCCAGAAATTTCCCTTGGGTGCCTATCCAGCAGCTTTGCTATTGGAGCTGTTTTGGAATTACTGGATGGGAACATGTGCATTTAGTTTGTAATTTCAAGTTTTGGTGATCTCCCAGTATTTTAAATTGTAAACTCACTTGTGAAAAGCCAGTTGATATAAACTAGTTACTGCCTCATGTATATAGAAGACCTCATGCATGGTCTTCACGTGGAGGATTGTATAGGTGTTAGCATGTTTCCTTCTGGAACTGTGTAAAAGAGCTCTTGGGAAAGAGAGTAATTTAAATTGAGTGTCCAAAGGCTACTGGTAGAAAGAGTTAATGCTACATGAAGTATGTAATGTTAATGATGATAAAATGGGCCATGTGGACAGGCAGATACTTGGCTATAGCTTGCTGATAACAGAGGTTTAGCAAGGAAGCTTATCAGACATGAATTGAAATTATTTATGCTTCTGACGGGCTGGCTTCAATACTTACAAGCACAGTCATAAGTGCTTCATAGAACCATGTGGATGTTTGTCACAAGGCTGCACCTGTTAATAAGGGATAGTCTGAGAAGAACTGAAACAAAGTATGAATACAAAATGCAGCCTTTGTGTTCAATCTCTAGATGGAGAAATCAAGGGAGAACAGCTGTTCTCAGTGAGAGGGAATATAAAATGTTCAGAAAATAAGAACGGCCTTGTTCTGTCAAACCAAAGCAAGGGGCAATGAATTGCAAAGCACACACTTATATCCTCATGTTATTTTCCATTGGAAATTTCTGGGGAGAGATTAGGAACGGGCCTTGGGTGTGTGCAAACTCATGAATTCACTTCCATGCCACTCCTGCATTTTCCTCCCACATGGAAATATTAATCTGTCATGGTCAGAGGAGCTCCAAATAACTGGAAGTTCCAGGTTACAGTGTTTGCTTATTCCTCAGTAGGGACAAGGAAACTGAAGTGAATATATTTGTGCAAGTCTGAGGTTTGCCAATCTCAAAACAGGGTGGGATATAGTAAGAGTCTTACTAGGGCCAGTGCTTTGACATTCACAGACAGGTTAGGATGGAGATCATTATTTCATAATGTAGCTAAAATTCATGGCATAGAATTATCTGTGTTTGTTATGAATACATTGGACCTAGCAGTTATATCTGGTATAGATCACTAATGCTATTAGCATCCTTTCTCTAGTAATTCTATTAAATTTCAAAATTTGAAAAAAATAATAGGGTTCGGCTGTATCTTGTGTTAAGTTTGTTTTGTTTTTTAAGTATAAGTATTTCATCCTATTTTGAGATGTGACACTGCAGTCTGTGTTCCTGAATAAACTGGTTAGGAGTCAGTTCTATGGAAGACCAGAAGAAGTCATAGCTTTGTTATGGCTGTCTCGTTTCTTTAACGAAAAGAGCATTTGTGTTGGTGATGTGGAGGGGGCAGCAGTTTGTCTCTTGTTTGCTTCGTAGAGACTGTTGCTTTCCCCTGCAAATTATTTGTGTGATAAAACAAATTTAATCAATGAAAGAAGTACTTAGTGAACAGCAGCGGGTTTTGAAGGAGTGCTCTGCTCTGAAAATCCAGTGCAGAGATTATCTTCATCTGCCCTCCTTTCTGTTCCTTTTTTCATAGATGCATTTGGAGGATGTTATGGATAACTTATGTCTCTCCTTCTTGTCTATTTATCCCTCATTTGCATCCTCACCTGAGGTCAGAATTCCAACCTTGGGTAAGGAAGCTGCTGGGTTTTTTCTGCAGTCTTCTAAAGGGTGGGGGCAGGTTATTGCAAACTGTACATCTTATGGTTTATGAGATGCTCCCCTGAGGTCCATAAATTATACCCTTGTTAGATCACCAGTTTGAAGGCAGAGTCTTTTAAAACATATTTTTTTCAGTGAGCTCTTGGATTTACATTTTCTGCCATGTGATTAGTTAACTTAATAGGCATTATTTAGGTTTCTTTAAATGAGGGATACCAGCAGTTCTGGTAATACCGTAGCCAGTAACCCATCCGTCTGTCCTTCTTCCTTCCACTATTATACTTCCCACTCTCTTGGTGTTCATCAGACTTTTCAAGCCACAGAAACTGAATTGCATTCAAGTCATAAAGACTCATGTATCTTATTCAGGGGTCTTCACTGATTTTTATTTTTAAAATGGTAGCCATTGTGGTGTAGAAGTTAGCATGTTGGATCAGGGGTATGGGTGTTCTGGGTTTTAGCCCCCACATTCCTGCTGACTTTGGGCCAGTCAGAGCCTTTCAGCCTGACCTATCTCACAGGGTAGCTGTGAGGATAAAATTGAGAAAAAAAAAGGATAATGGAAACCACAAGGATAATGGAAACCTTGAAAGGAAAAAAGATGGGACATAAATAAAATAAAACTAAAATGATCATTTAAACAGCAATAAAATATTTACAATGAATTTTCATTGTAAGAAATCATCTTGTTATGGATTTCAATGTTGTAGATAACCAGTGGTTGGTTCCGTTACAACTGAATGCAAATACCATTTCTTGTGCTACTGGAGATAAAGCTACAGTGCTTTACCTTACCTGAAGCATGAACCAGTGAGAATTCATAGCAGAATCACTATAGTACAGCCCGGAAACTTTCAAAGTGTAGAGAGACAAGTGCTTTCTTCTTAGTTTCACTTGTGAGGTGTAGGAGATGTGATGGACCATATGTTTATTTTCAGTGAGGATGTTATATACAAGCAACAAACTTGGATGTAAAAGCTGGTGTTTAATATTCAAGTTCCAGAGCTTCCAGAGCTCTAGAAAGGCTTATTCATGTGCTAATTTAAAATACTTTTAACTCACCATTTCAGACTGTCTTGAAGCTTTTCACACGATGTCAATGGTATAGTACAGGCATATAATGTATGAAATGCAAATTGAAAGATAAGTACAGGAGAGGCAAGATTGTGAGAATGAGAAGAGTGCTGAACAATAGATTCCTTGGCAGAGAAGGTTGTGTAGAGCTGTTGCCATCACCTGCCTCCTGAGATCTTGCTTCCCCATCTTCCTGCCATTTTATAGGGATTTAGATAGCAGAAAACAACTCAGCTATCATGTATTGAACCTATTTTATGGCTAGCATAAATTGTGGTAATATTAATGTCAGTGTAAACTTATGCAAATTAGTTTTTAAATGACAGTTCTTATGATGTAGTCACATTGATTGCACCTTTGATACTTATGAGCCCCCAGACTCAGAGGCTTAACAAGCATCTAAGGCAGCTCGAGAAACAGCAGAAGCAATCTGTATCTCCTGCTGTGCATTTTAGCTGGACAACCAGTTTTGACAGTTTAGCTCAGTTACTGGAAGGACAGGGAAGATGGGGAGAGTGCTTTCCACATCAGCTGCAGTTGGGAAAGGGATTCTCAGCTCCAAAGTCAGGCAACTGTTTTTGATCTAAGAATCTGAGTTATCTTATGCCACCTGCCGTCACTCAGTTGATATCTAGAAGCTATAGGATTGCACTTTCAATCACACCTAATTGTCCACCTGTGTCTTTATAAATACCATTAAATTTTATTTCAAGTTTGCAATACATTACTTCATGTGGTACCCCCAGTTTAAGGAGGATTTCTCATAATAGGACAAATTATGACAAATGATTATCATTTTAAGATGTGTTCAGGGAAGAGGCCAAAGCTCAGAGGTAGAATGTTCCAGGTTCAGGCCCAGGCATCTTAAGTCGAAATGATCAAGTAGTAGAAGATGGAAACGGCCTGTATTAGAGGCACGAAGGAAGCACTGCCAAAAAGGGTAAACTGTACTGGACCAGATTCAGCAGTAGTTTGACTCAGTATTAGAGAGTTTTATTTGTCTACATGCTGCTATGTGTATAAAACTCAAATACACGACAATTTGTTACCAATAGAGCAGATCAAATTTCCTTAGACTGAATGCCATGCATGTCTCTTTTGCTTATTATACTGTAATCTGCTCTGTGTCTTAGTAAGAGGACAGTTTCAAACTGAAGTACAGTGCACAAATTAACTACCTTGAAAGTCTAACAAATAATGAGACAGCTTTCTGGCTTGTCTCTTTTCTCAGACTCTTTTTTCTGTTTCTGAATTTTTAGTTAGAAGTGCTATCTCAAATGATGGTGGTAAGAAAGAATAGGGTTGGAAAGAATATGGTGGGGGCGCATAATGGTCAGCCAGATGTTCCTTAAAGAACCAAAGCTATGCAGGAGTGTATCTGAGTTGTTTGGAAAGTATTCTGATCAGCTGATATTTAAAAAAAATCTGAATGGATTCATAATCAAAAATAGTTCTGTGGATTGCAGAAGTAGCAACTCTAAATTTAACTTGATAGCAGATACCTGATTTCTCTATAGACAGAAATGAAGATCCAAACCACTAAGCAAACCAAATCCTAAAATTAGCATCAGCTTATTTCTTTTTGGGGAATCCCTCTTTTTAAAATGTGTGGTTAGGATTCTTTGTTGTCCATATGGTACCAGGCAACGCTGATTCACCTTTTACAAACCCTGATGCTCTAGGGAAGCAGCAATGCAAACCTTTAGTTAATCATTCACCACTTGTACTTAACATATATACTGACATATAAGAAAACCCTTGAAATTGAAAATAGTGAGGCAAAAAACAGGTATGCTAGGTGAAAAAAACCATTATATTATAGTCATTGTTTTAAAATGGAATAGATAATAGAGACAATTGTATTTATGAGCTTGTTTTTATTAATAATGATTTTTAAAATGCTTACTGGTACAGGGGAAGCTCATCCTGCATTGTGTTAGGTGGTGATGCAGCTGCAGGCCTAGTCCTGAATCTGGCACCCACCCAGCCCTCACTGTGGGACTGTGCACCATTCAAGGCTGGCAGCGGCTGGGAAGGAGAGTGTTCCCCACATGGCTGTCTGTGGAGAGCCACAGCACTGCCCATGTAGGCCTTCTCTCTCTTGTTTCCCCCAGACCTCTAGCTGTCCTTACGGACCAATCCCAGCCAGCTAGTCCCCTTGCAGGCTACCATTGGCCTTGTTCTTTACAAAACCTTCTCAAGTGAAATCAGAGGGAACATGACCGTTAGCTAGAATATGGTAATGTGACATCACAGGAATCCAGAAGCATCTGGCTCCATGAAACTGAAAATAGCAAAGCAAAAATTGGGTTGTCTTATATGCTCAATATGACAAACACCAGAAAAATAGCTCAAAATATTGACCTTGTCTTTATGTGTGAATGACCTTATATAGCATATATGGTATGCTGGATGATATAACATTGCCCAGGTTTTTCCAACTTGATTCCCTCTGATGTGTTCGAGTACAATTCCCATAATTCCCCACACATGTGATTCCTAGATCACAGCAGATTGGGGAAGAACATCTGGTTGGCTGGAGGAACAAAGATGCAGGAACCTATTGACAGTTAGCAAGCAAAGAACTAATATGCTGACAGAGACTCATCTATTTGATTGCAGTTTAGCTCTGCTAAGTTTGTTTGAGCATCTTCAGTTTCACTGTCATTAGTTTGTTTCATTCAAGTCCCACTCAAGTCTCACATACTTGCTTAAGGATACTCAACTGAAAAGCATTAATTGCAATTTTGAAGTTGTCAGATTTACCTAATACTTCATATGCAATTGACATACATTCATTTTTCCTACTGAACTTAGGGATCCCAAAACTTTCTCTGTTGTATCATTGCTTTAAATCTTTTTTTCCATGTCAGGCATGGTATATTTTAAGAAGTCATGATTCAATTTTGTTTTGTTTTGTTAGCTGAATACTCTGATAGTAGGATAAGCAAAATCCATGGACCTGTTCAGCCACTTAAGACTGTCTCCCTTCTTAGAAAAGCCCATCTTTCCACAGCATGACTATCCTGTACTTCTGTTGTACAGTGGCATTGGAGATGCCTTCTAGGTCAAGATGACCTATAGGCCCTAAATTGAGTGGCTCTACATTCATGTAATTAAGCATGCTTACAACAGAAATATTTTTTTAAAGAAAAACTGCATGGAAGCATAACACTGAAAAATTACCATTCTTTCTGTTGCTGCAAATTCTTTATAACTGTTGAAAACTGAAAGATAGTGTGACCTTTCTTTCCCATCTTTGGAGGTACTTCTGGTTTTGCTGATCAGTGAGACAAAACTCTGAACTAAGTTTCAGAGCAAAGATGAAGCAAGTACATGATAAAGTAGTTTATTACTGGCTTGCAAGATGTACAGGACCGGCTGTAGCAGAAATGTGTTGACTTGACAAGGCAATGTGTTAATGTCTTGAGTAATGAGACCCTGCTATTGAACATGTTCACAGTCTTGGATACTACAAGTGTGTTAATTTTTTTTAGAGTTCGTGTAGCACTTCGCTTTACCTGATTTTGATATCCTTAGGCCTGCACCTAAGAATACTTTAACATAACAAATTAAAAATAGAATGACCATATTGATATAAGTATTTCATTCTGTGTGCAATGTTGATACTGAATTTTCATTTGTGTTCTAAAGTTCACTACAAGTCTTTGTGTGTGTTTTAAGAGAAAGCAACCAGTGAAATGAATACTGCTGAAGACTGGGGGCTCATCTTGGATATTTGTGATAAAGTTGGGCAGTCACGGACAGGGTAAGTGTACATTTCCTATTCAGTTAAGGTCTTTATTTTATTTGAAAGGATAATTTATTTCCGTTTTTTTAATAATTTATATTCTGTCATATTTTAAATGACATATTTAAAATCTATTAGTTTAAAATGTTATTGACATCAAATTAATCTGTAGTGATTTTATGAATATGTTTTGATTTAAACTACTGGTCTCCTACATTTGTACTATATCTTGAGTTTAGCCCTTAAGGCTATTTTTATAATCAGCTAAATAGTGTGTGTTACTTCAGCTATTACTTTTTGTTTAGATGGCATCATTTTAGCCAATTACCCACTTTGTGGGTTTCTTGTCTGTTGCTTAGTTCTGCTTGGTGTTTCTTGCAGACTTAAAATTTGGGCTCTGTGAATCAATCTTGGCATAGTTATGGAATGCGCTCCCCAGAGAGGTCCGCCTGGCGCCGTCGTTATTTGTTTTTCGGCGCCAGGCTAAGACCTTTTTATTTAAGCAACATTTTAAATGCTAAATACAATTGAATTTTATCTGGCCAGGGCGGCTTATTTTATAATGTGAGTTTTAATCAAGATTATTTTATATGGATTTTAACTTGTTTTATCTATGTTGTAAGCCGCCCCGAGGCTTCGGCGAATGGGGCGGCATAAAAATGTTTTAATAAATAAATAAATAAATAAATAGTTCAGTATTTTTATGAGGAGTCTCCTTTAGTTTGGAAGTTGAACTTGTGACCTTCAGGTCCCTTCCAGTCTTGTGGACTAATTTGAACTTTTCTCACTGTACAGTATATGTAAGACTTCTCTTAAATAAACCTTTAAATTGTTAACTGTGTATTATTTTTTTAACTAAAAGTAGTTTTAAAAATAGTTACCAGACAAAAAATGTGGACTGAATTTTGTGTTGCAGAATAATTCAAATGTACTTTACTAATATATTGCTGTACATGCCAGTTCTTCCAGTGCTATCTTAACAGATCCAGTGATAATAAAACTGGATTATTTGCCTTATTTGAGTTTTTTTTCCAGTCAGCTGCATGTATTAATGCTTGTAAAATAACAAAAAGTAAGCTGTTGTTCCAAATTGTGTGCTTTCTGATGATTTTTATGGACAATTTGTTAACAGTTTCCTACCCTAGAATAATACAAGTTCACAGTTTTGTACAGTGTGAAATGATCATGATATATAGCAGCATTTTCTATAATTAGTAGTGCTAAGTATGATGCAGGGGTTTGTAAAACACAGCCACCAAATATAGATTACTCAGCACTGTAGGGTAACTTAACCTAGAGTTTCCTATAAGCACTGGTAGCTAGATACCAATGCTTGATATAAAAATGAAATCCTTCACTAAATAAAAATGAAATCTTAAATATAAATATTAATAGTAAATGTTAACTTATATTAATCACCATTACATGAAAATTCCTCATGGATATCTTCAAAAGGAAGGATGCTATTAGTTGGTGAAAGCATGACACATTTAGCATCTTTTCACATAGCAGTTATGCATATTTGCATTTCTATACTTCAAAGAATACAACCACTATTTACTTCCTATACACACAAGTATATGTGTTAATGAGTCACTATTTGAGTTGTGAAAGCTGGACCATAAGGAAGTCTGAGCGCAGAAGAATTGAGGCCTTTGAATTGTGGTGCTGGAGGAGACTGTGTGAGTCCCTTGGACTGCAAGGCGATCAAACCAGTCAGTCCTAAAGATCAACCCTGACTGCTCTTTAGAAGGCCAGATACTAAAGATGAAACTCAAATACTTTGGCCACCTAATGAGAAGGAAGGACTCGCTGGAGAAGAGCCTAATGCTGGGAACAATAGATGGCAAAAGAAGAAGGGGACGGCAGAAAATGAGGTGGCTGGATGGAGTCACTGAAGCAGTTGGTGTGAGCTTAGGTGGACTCCGGGGGATGGCGAGGACAGGAAGGCCTGGAGGAATGTTGTCCTTGGGGTCGCGATGGGTCGGACACGACTTCGCAACTAACAACAACAACATTTGAACTACAGTTGACTTTTTGGCTGCTAAAACCATCTGTAGTTAAACATGGACATTCAGCTTGTATGTAGAATAACAAATGTGGGTCCGAGGGGGGCTTTAACCAAAGGTCTCACGTGCACTCAGATTTATATATTACAATCTTTAAGATAATGTGAAATGGCTATTTCCAAAAATGGAAAAATCAGCTCACATATGTATTACTATTACATCAGATTTATACCCAGCCTTACTTCCTCTTACAAGAATCCCAAGGCGTCAGAAAATTAGGGGCAAAGAATTGAAACACATGAGTTGACTGTTAGTACATCATACCCTGCTTTTTGAGTTGCTAAAGTTCATGAATGTGTCAAGTATTTATATATTTATTTAATTTTATATGCCACTTACTAATCCTAGAGGAGTCTCTAGGCAGCTTACAGTCAGCAATTAATATTACAGATATGAAAAACCACTAAAAACAATAAAAGTCATGCCAGGACACCTCATTTTTCTAACCCTAACCTAGTGATGATGAACCTTTTGGAGACCGAGTGCCCAAACTGCAACCCAAGACCCACACTACAATAAAACCTGAAAATTGAGGTTTTAGTTTAGAAAAAACAACTCACAGCCAGTCCAAGTATCCCTCTCCCTCCCTCCCTCCCTCCCTCCCTCCCTCCCTCCCTCTCTCTCTCTCTCTCTCTCTCTCCTTGGCAGCGCACTGACTGGCCATGCGAAAGCTTGGACACGTTGTGGCTAATGAGTTGTGGCTTGTGACATCATTGCCTGGCAGCGCTACTCCTTTCCGAGCATGCGCATGACCCCTATGTGCAATGTTATCTGATGCTCGGCTGCTGGGGCAACTTGGCTCTGTGTGCCCGTTGCAGCATGCGTACCATAGGTTCGCCACCACTGCACTATACAAATCTATCTATTTTACTTTAGAAAGCTTTCCAGAAAGCATTCTGATTCCAAATATTCTGGAAACCCGCATCACTGGGGTGTGCATATTAAACACTTTTTTGTAATGAATGCTTGTGTTTTGAGAACAAAAACATGTAAAGTGAAGTCCTTATGGTTGAAGAGCCAGTGTGGCATACTGGTTAGAGTATTGGAACAAGACTCACAAGATCTAGCTTCTAGTTCTCATTCAGCCATGAAAATCACAGAGTTACTCTGGGCTACTCATAGACTGCCTAGCCTAAAGTTGAAAATGAAATGGAGGACAACCCAGATGGTCCATAGCAGAGTAATCAACTTAAGAACAGTAATTCCAACTTTGAAATTTTGAGAGCAGGTGTAGTGACATGGTTAGAGGACTGGGCTGTGATTTTGGTATCTGGATTCTAGACCCTGCTCAGCCATGGAGCTAACTGGGTGACTTTGGGCCGTCACAAAATCTCAGTCCAACTTAACCACACAGGGATGGTGCTGCAAGGATAAAACAGTGATGAGAACTTTGGAAGCCATCCTGTATTCTTTGCAAGAGGAAGAAAGAGTGTATACATGTGACATAATATACGTATTGTGATTGGCATGCATTCATTTTTACTATTTTTGGTGCCAGGTTAAAACCTTTTTATTTAATCGTTATTTTAAAAATTAGTAATTTTATTGTTTACAGTTTTTATTATATTTGGTTTTGATTGAATTTAGTTGTTTTTGGTATTGATCATTTTATTGTACTGTTCTACCAATTGTTTATGGTTTGCTTTTAATCATGTAAGCCATCCTGAGACACAATAGTGAAGGACGGCATACAGATGTTTTAAATGAATGAATGCTTGTGGAAAAAATAAAGCACTGGAAAATTCTCAATTTTGGAAAAGTTTTCCACTCCACATCACTGGCATTGGCTCTGTCTTATCAGCCAGTTTACCAGCAGGCCTAACTAAAAGTAAGAGATAGAGAATGACTGAGGAACCTTGGGCACTGTGACTGTAGTGAGACATTGATGTGGAAATGGATATGTTGAGGAGAAAAGGAAAAGAATTCATTTTTTTTTTTTTTTTTTTTTTTTTTTGGCCAGTGGATTTACCTTTGTTTTCTATCAGTTAGGACAGTCTTTTCCAATCTGTGGCTTCCAGGTCTTTGGGGCTATAGTTCCCAAACTATTTGCTGTACTGCCTGACCATTTCTGACCATTTGCTGTACTGCCTGGGGCTGATGGAAGCTGTAACTGGAGAGCACCAGATTCAGTGTTTAACAGGGACTATTCTGTGCAGAGGGTATCAAAATTCCATGATCAGGCAGATATGGCCTAACCTAGTGGTTTTTCTAGTTTTGTAGTGGCTTTTGCAAGAAGCACCAGCAACACCTTAGGTGATCTTGGAGCTGGTGGTATACAACAGGACTTCTTGCTGCTAGAGAACAGGCAACTAGTGTTATAAACTCTCTTATATAACCAGTTATTGGGGAATGACTTATCTAGAGCACAGTAGTCATTAAAGGAGGGGAAAAAATTAAAACTGCTGTATCGTAAGAGGCATCTGCTGCTTGCTAAGTAGCTGATGCAAGGACTTAATATTCTTTCATCTGAGTAATGTTCTACTTTCTTATTAGCATTATAGTTTGTCAATATATTTTTAAAAGCTTTTTGTCTTATTTGTTAGGCCTAAGGACTGTCTTCGGTCTATTATGAAGCGAGTTAACCACAAGGATCCTCATGTTGCTATGCAAGCATTGACAGTATGTTGACAGTATGTTCTTTTAAAACATAGCTTTGTTTAATAAGTTCAACTCCAAGTATAAAATACTTAAACTCTGATTCTTTTCCTCTGTTTAGCTTCTTGGAGCTTGTGTCTCAAATTGTGGTAAAATATTTCATTTAGAAGTATGTTCAAGAGATTTTGCTAGTGAAGTAAGCAACGTGCTAAATAAGGTAATATATCATAAGCATCTTAAATTTACTTATAAAGTTGACTGTTTAAATAATATATTAAAGTAGGCCAGAAGGTAGAAGAAGCCTCGCAAAGATAAAGTTTATACACACAGACAAACTGATGATCAGGATTTCAAGAGGATAGCTATATTGTCTCTAGCTGTGAATACATTGTGTTGTGGTGACTTTATTATCATGCCTGCAAATGTTGATGTCATAATAAAGGACTTGGTCTTTAAGGTACTACAGCTACCTTTTGTTATGGCAATAAGTTATTAGAAGCAATTATATAATCAGAATGGTCTGCCTCCTGCTTTCTTAACCCCTTACTATCAGCAGCATGAACTTGAGCTATGTTAGGCTGGATGAATTTCCAGAGAAAGTGATCTCATAGTTGTGAGGATATCGCTTTATTCTTGTTATTTGAATGCAGTATTTAAATAGTATTCTCATCTTAGATGGTAAGACTAAGAGGAGTAACAGTAAAATATAGCTTCTATGCTATATGGCATTTGAACAGTTTTACAGCTAATTTGAATTGTGTCCTGAAACAAATCTTACATTTTTGGCTATATCTACCTGGTAGTTTGAATATGCATGCTATGGAAGGAGCTATTAATGGTTTTAAGGTGTAGGTGGGATTCTAAAATGATTTGAGGTACATAGGAACTAAAATAGGCATGCAATTTGTGTTGCTTCTGGTGGTTTCTGTGTAGAAAAGACATAGGATTGGATCTAGGCTAAATTATTAAGTCTCATTGATTTTAATTCAGCCTGTCCCATTATTTTAAAGAGGATCCAACCCATAAAGATTTCCTTAAATTATGTATTAATGTTCTTTTTCACAGGGCCATCCAAAGGTTTGTGAAAAATTAAAAGCACTCATGGTGGAATGGACAGATGAATTTAAGAATGATCCTCAACTTAGTCTGATATCTGCTATGATAAAGAATCTTAAGGATCAAGGTGTTATGTTTCCAGTCATTGGTTCACAGGTAAAAAGCTGATATACAAAAAGTAACAACAGATCTCACAAAAAATCTAGCTATAGGAGATGGCATATAATACCAAGAATTACAAATTATCACACCCTTGTTCAGTTGCTTAAGTATAGTTGTGGTTTGTTTGTTCTCATACCATAGTTCAGAGAAATGCACAGCTAACTTTGTGAAGTTTGCTGCTCTTCTGTTAAAAAAAATATCCTGTCTTGTGAAACAGACGTGCACTACTCATTTCTCCTCTGTTGTCCAGGTGTTATCCCATGGGATCCTGTAGTAAAACCAATCCATTTCTTCTTCCCTGCCACCACTTTTTTGGTTCCTTGTGGCCTTTTACCTCTGTAATTCTTTTGCTGCCACTTCCTCCTCCCCCCTCCCCCCTCCTATTATTATTATCACCACCACCACCACCCTTGGAGTGGCTGTTAGATCTTTTTCCTCCGCATCATTATGCTTGCTTTCTTTTTCTTGGGGAGGGGTCAAAATTTATTTTTAGCTGTACATGTGCAGCTGCAGGCATTTGCATGTTGCAAGTACATGAATCTGAAACTCAAGTGAGCTGTTTCTAGGTGGAGGGGTGGGATGATGTATTTGCTGTCAAAGTGCAACAGGAACTAGGCATTGCTCCAAAGTGGCTCAAATAAGCTCTTTTGCTGTTTGCTTTCTCTTGACAGCTGTCAAAAGTCAAGCTGTCAAGAGCCAAAGGTTCCAAGTAATCTTCACTCATGAAAAGGAGTTGGTGTGATTTACAGCCACTCCATGGCAAGATCCTTGCATTTTTCCCAAGAGTCTTCAGAGTAAACCACATTTTGCACCTTTTATCAAGATTCTAATTTTGCAAGAATAAGTTTGAAGTGCAACACATTTGTGGGGATCTGAAAACAGCTCTTGATAACAGTTGGTAGAGGAGGAAGCCCATGCCAGCTACTCCTTCACTGGCTGCTGGACTTTATTGACAAGGGAATCTGCTGTCCAGGTTTAAAGGACACCTCGTGGGTAAAACAAATTCTGGTACAGCCATGGGGTTTTCCACATAGCTTGTCTGAAGAAAACAAGCTACTGTGGGTGAATTGGGTTGGTTTCAAACAACATGACAGGCAATCGGGTTTGATGCCCATGATGGTTTGTCCCATTATGTGAACCATACAACCAGTAAATGCTTCTCCAAGCCATTTATCTGAAGGTGATCAGTGCAGATGAATTTTTCAGTAGCAACAGTATCTTTGGGATTAACTTTTTCCTTAAGGTTAGCAAAGAAATCCTAGCAAATGTTGGATCAGAGTATTTTGACATTTAACATTAGCCAAACCTTTGACTGCTCTATCAGTTGTATTCTGCTAAAGCATGGAGACTTTGCATTTACTAGCATAACTGGAATTGTTTCTTGTCTGTGAAGTGGCATTCTGCAGTATAGAACCAATATATGTTTATGAGAGTTCCTGGGAAACCTTTGATAAACCTTTAAGAAAGTATTCTTCCATTCCTTTAGGTATGCCATGCTGTTTTTGTTGTTCCTCAGACATAGAGAGAATGTATTCACTGCAATTTGTGCAAAGTCTGCTTCTGAAACTCTGTTACTTTTGAAGGTTATACTCAAACCTAGGCTGCAAACATATATTTACTTACCTGAGAGTAAGATTCATTAAACTCAGTGGCTCTCATTTCTAGTCATGTGTTATTTCATATGGCAGCAAATACCATCATGCGGAATTGAAAGCAAAATGCCTGCTAATGATCTGATCATCCACACTACGTTCTAAGAACTGTGGAGCAAATCTTGTACCAGAAATTCATTGATAGCTGAAAGTTCGGATACAACATGAGTGTTGGGGATGGGGTATGTGAATGATTCTGAGGAAACTTTTTCATTTGCATTTGTTCCCCTTCTTGATGAATAAATGGGTAAATATGCTTCATAATATAATGGTTTCTGACTAATTCCAGTTTAACTCCCAGTACTGGATTTAAATGACACTGAGTTTTCTAGTAACTCTTTCTTTTATCAGGCTGCAGAACAAGCAAAAGCAAGCCCAGCTCTGGTAGCCAAGGATCCCGGAACAGTAGCAAACAAAAAGGAGGAGGAGGATCTAGCTAAAGGTTGGTTATTGTTTGAGAATCTTTAAAACAAAGCTTATAAATGGAACTCTTCAAATGGCCCAATATAAATAATTGATTCCACAATAGGAATAAATTGCACATCTACGTTAGCTTGCTCACATTTCATTTTTTTCTTTTGAGACCTTGGTGCTACTTTGAAATTAAATCTGTTCAGTACTTTTTATAATGAAATGGGAAAGAAGAACAGAGAAAAGAGGACAGTATTGCTCTTCAGAGGTGTGCATTCCTTGTTATACTTGCCAAGCTTTCCCTCCCAAAAGGCAGCTCACCTGTATGTAAACTGTTTAGCAAGCAATTTGGAAGCAAAAAGATGCTTCAGTATTAAATGAGACGGATGTAAAAAAGACAAGGAAAGAAAGAAGTTGGTTTCATACTTATTTTGATTTTTATCCCAACAGCAAGCTTGTACTCTGAATAAAGATTTATATGATATATATGCTGCCTGGCAAGATCTTCATGAGTATGTAAAAATTGATGTTCCTTTTCAAATAAGCTTCTTTTCCATAGGGAGGAAAATGATAGTCATTTTGTGTGAATCAATGACTTCCTTAAAGGGCTTTGCAGTAGATAATTTCTTCTGTGTGGTGTTTCTGTTTCAGCAGTGACAATCCAATTTTAATTGTGTTTTCATTATTAGAACATAGGTCTGTAATGAATCTTGTTGCATCTGTAGGATATTTCAAAAAAGAACCTTGCATTCTTCAGAGAACAATGCGAGAAAGTCCATCTTATATACTTGGAAAGCCCTCCTTCAAGACTTGTTTTTAGGCAGATCATTGGTGGCACTCTTACCACCTCTATAGTTGGAGAAATACTTGAAGGATTTTTATCGAAGCATCTGCTTAGTAGGGTTTTAATGATTTTGGTTAGACAGTCATGAGGATTTCACAGTCCTCTTGCTTTTAAGATGTAGGAGCTTTCCTGAGTGGCACCCCATTCACAGTTCAAGCATTAAATTGGCAACTCTAATTCAGTGTTGGAAGCAGAAGCATTTCAACTTCAACAGAAAAATCAAAACTCATTAAATGTCTCTGTTTTATCTGAGCACATGACTAATTCAGCTTTCTATATGTCTTCAGTAAAACTAGTGTTGGGCCAGTTTGTAGGAATTATTTCACCTTTTTATATATTGAAAAATCTTACATGTTAAGGAAAAGGAAATTAGCTAAATAGTCCAAATTTAAACTGGTTGCTATTCAAAGGCACCTTTTATATTGTTATTTACCCTTGTGTTTTATTTTTTGCAGCCATTGAGTTGTCACTGAAAGAACAAAGACAACAGCAAGCACCACTTTCCAGTCTTTATCCAAGCACCTCAAGCCTCTTAGCAAATCACAAACATGAGGGTCGGAAAGTTCGAGCTATTTATGATTTTGAAGCTGCTGAAGATAATGAATTAACATTTAAAGCTGGAGAACTTATCACTGTACTTGATGACAGGTAACTTTGCTGGAGTCCAGAAAATTATGTTTGTGAAGTAGGTATCTGTACAGTAATGCTTCCATACTGTCAAATAAACAAGATTGCAGGATATGTCTTTAAAGTTTTTTTAATGTTTTGAAAATGCAGACTGTGTTTGTTTGTTTATGCACATATTTATATGCTACCTATAACTGCCAAAAGGCCTTCTTAGGCAGATTACAACCACATATTAAACCATATTAAACATAATATAAATAACAACATGTTAAAACCTATTAAAACAATTAATGATTATAGTGACTGTATAAAAAGAATATAAAAAGGCCACAAGCACTGTAGTTACATGTTAAGTGCTTCCTTAGTAGTTTACTGTCACATGTAAACTCTGCTTTTGGAGTCTGCATGATTTTGTGAAAGGAGACCCAGGAGATAAAACAATTGGAAGAACACAGGTTGGACACAAAGAAGCATAAGAAAAACAAGTGTACTTAAAAGTAAACTATTTACTATTACTTAAGAGTAAACTTCCACAACTTTCAGTTCCGAAGTGCTAGAACTGTTTCCCATTACAAAACAAAGCTTTATGGTGTAAGAAGCACACTAATATATTTCCTATATGAGACTTTGCTTAGCAAATGGGTAAAGTATTTAAATTATAAGCAGTTAAAGACACAGGCTATAGCCAATTTTGCAGTAGCAAAAAAAAGAAAAAAGCTGGCATTGTTCCACTAGTGGTTGTACAGTCGAAGAATAACAACTAGTGCAAGCCTCATATAGCCTAATAAAGTTTTAATGCGTTATGCAACCCCATGTGCAGAATCAAAGCATTGGATTTTATATTTGCACAAGGGTTTCCAGTAAATGACGCTTCCAGTAAAAGCTTTGTGCTAGCGGAATGGCACTATTGGAACTAACCCACAGATTTCAGTTAACAATCTTGTGCAGGCAAATGCACAGAGGTTTGCACAATGGAAGGACATCTCAATTTCAGCTCACTTTGTTCCTAACAACACTAGTTTGCTAAATCAGGGAGGCCCTGATTCTCTGAGTGGAAGAGGCATTCCACTGAAGGAAGGGCCCTTTGAATCCAAGCCTGTGGATTTTTGCTGTCAAGCTTTCCCAGAAAAAGATGTGGTCACATTTAGCAGACATTTCTAGGCTTTTGATTATACAACTGAAAGGTACTGGAGTACGCAGCACAATTATGTGAAAAGATAACTCCATATTCTGTTAAATGTGAGCTGCCTGCTGGATTTTTTAAAATTTCTTGGAATATTTCTTACACTATTGTTAAAATACAATTCCCACATCCACAAGGGATAAACACCTCTTCTGGCATTTCAGTGAATCTTGCTGACCACTTATTAATTCTGGAGTACAATTATGCTTCCATCTGTGTTACATAAAAACTTTACATCACAGTATTATTGGACCATCCTGAGACTTTCTGTAATATGATGGGATAGAAAAGCTTTAAATAAATACATAAATAAATATTAAATGGAAATTGATACATTATTTTCTTTTTTCTGAGACTCACATTAAATGATGAAGGGATAGTAGGAGTTGTACTGCCAATTTAAAACTAGATTTTGTGGTCTAATCACTTGTTTTCCTGTACTGCAATTTCTTCTAATTTTTTGAAATGGTTTCAAAATAAAGTAATTATATTAAATTATAAATAATATAATAGCATGCAATAATAGGATAATTGTTAATATCATCATTAATGTTAAAATTAAATAATGATTGTTTAAATTTTGGTAATGCTTAATTAAAATATTAAGTGATTCACATAAATATTAACAATCACATGAAATATATTATTAAAACTGTTTCAGTTACAGTAACAATACAAATGCATTTGAATGCGATTTCATATTTCAATAACAGTACAAAATACTAAAGAGAATGGTTAGATGGAACAGCGTGTAATTAATTGGATCATTTACGGTATCTTTCAAAAACAATGCACATAGTAAAAAAGTTTCACTCAATTAAAATTTACTGTAAATACAAGCTAGGTAGAAAATGGCATAATTAAATCCTCTTTAAATTAGCATTGCAGTTCTTGATTATCATTTGTCACTGAGATTTAAAATCGTTGAACTTGACCTTTTTGCCACATACCTGATAAATTTCATATACCTATGTTTTGGGTTGGGGAACATGTGGCCCTCTGGATGTTGCTGGACTCCAAGTCCCATAATCCTTCACAGGTGGCTATGCATTCTAGGGCTTGCAGTCCAACATTTGCAGGGCCCCATGTTCCTCAACTTTGCTTTAGTGGCTTATACCCTTTCTCCCAAGTTTCTCAAAATAAGAGTAGCACAGTCATTTCTTTAATTTGCATACTTTTAAGTAGTTTGTCTACTTCGACTTGTACAAGAAATTTTGAGGGACTGCTCTCTACAGACTTCTTATGTCTTCTTATAAGCATATAATTATATATTTCACTCTTTTTTTCCTTTTGGGGGCAGCAGTGCAAGGATCTATGTTAGGTACATTCCATTATTTGTCTTGCTTCCTTTACTTATGAACAAGAGGCCTGCATTTTGGAACATCCATGAGTTTCAGCAGGGGCTTTCTGTGTAATGAACGATAGGAACAGCTATCTGAAGAAAACTAAGTTCGGCTGGAATCATGGCATAAAGTGATGTAATTGTCTGAATTGTAGCCCCATGTGGTTGTTTCTGTGTGAATGCCTCCCTCTGCTGCTTTACTTTTTGTATCTTAATAAACTTATGTGGAAAATAGGGGGCAATATTTAAATGAAGTGGCTCTTAGAATAATCAAGAATACTGTCAAAATATATCCTTCATGTCGGTAGAGATGCAATTCACATAGTATTTTTGACCACTGAATTATTTTCACATCTAAAATAAGATATGCAATTCTTTCATTTCTAATCTTACAGTGATCCAAACTGGTGGAAGGGTGAAACTCATCAAGGAACAGGATTATTTCCTTCTAATTTTGTAACTGCTGATCTTACTGCTGAACCAGAAATGAGTGAGTAATGAAATGTTCATGCCGAAAGATACTTTCTGCTTGCCACACATTGAGCAGGCCATTAAATCTCATGTTACTGGTTAGTACCTGTGAGACTGTCAATGAACAAACACTCCTAGGATGCAATCCACTCAAGATCCAAACTTGGAGGATTATATGAATCCTATGCAGAATAGGAGAAGTAAATGTTTTGTGCCTTTCATTTTTGCTAGATGCCAGCTTTGGGCAATCTGGCTTGAAGTTTTGGAGGCAGAGGGAGTAAGACTGGAGTAGCTTGAGAATGCCTTGTATCCTGGCCTTCCAATTTTCTTCTCTCCCCACCCTCATTAACCCTTCTTTGAATTTGCTGTCAGTGGGACATAGGATTATTTCCTTAATGTTTGTTTATTGAGTCATATGCAAGAACTTAGTGAGGCAATCTGAATGAATTACAGACCTGGTCTGCACATAACAGTGAGATCATGAGTTAACTTATAATTTGCCATGGCTCATTCTGAAAACATGCTTCCAGTTTCAGTTAGCAGGTTCCATTAGTTCTTACTGTAGGCTATCCCATGATTTGCAAAATTGGACACTTTGGATTGGTTGTGGGTTAAAGAAAAAGTTAAATTATACACTAACAATAGGTGGATTTTGGGTTATTTAATCCACAAAGAACCCAGTTTCCTGGTTCATGTGTTATAGTATACTCTGTGATCAGACCAGTTGGAGACTTCAAGCTGAAACTGGAAGGAACATTCATCCAGCATAAACAACAACAAATTGTTCCCTGGTTTAAATCTTGCCTCTGCACTGATCTCATTTGTAATGTCAGGAATAATGAGACTTCCTATATAGCATTCTTGTAAGGGTGAGACTTGATACGAGGTAATACACATGAAGCTCTTTGGGCATTCAAAAGTGCTCTTTAAATAGTAAGCATTTATCTTATTTTAATATTTTTATTGATAAGATATAATGACATTGATCAAGATCCTCATCAGTGTTATATAACTGGTCCAGATATGTATAGAGGCTTTTAAGTCCCACTTTGGGTTCTCCCCAGAGCCCCACCATGGTCAATTATAGCAGACACCTTGAAAGGGAATTTTGTTTGCTCCTATGTTTGAGTAGAAGTGTTTTCTGTTTGCATGTGACAAAGGAGTTTGTCTTGCCTGTTGATACATTTTATTTAAGAGTCCAAATAGTTTTATATCATGAACTGGATCCGGATTTATGCATGTGTAGCTAGACTGGCAGGAGCAAATTCACTTTTTCCCTCTATGCAGCCATCCCTCCAAGCTTCCCCAAAATTCAGTTAGGGTTGGCTGTCTCTGTAAAATGAGGCTGGTTATTGCTTATGGTATGGGAGAAAGTAGAGGGGACCCCCCCTTAAATTAGGTGACACAACTTTCCCTGAACACAGTTTTTGTTCATGGAAGATTCTCTGCCTGAGTTTGGAATTCAAAAGTCCTCCCATTCACTCTGCTACACCGCTGATTACCCCATTCAGCAGGGTCCACCATTTATTTATTTTTGTATTATGCCTTTTCAGTGAAAATAGTATGGAAGGGAACTAAAAATAACAAAATAAGTATACAGTGTAGAATAATTAAAACATATTTGCTTCAATTAAAAGATCAAAAACAGATAAATAAAAAATAAGCACCCACCAATCAATACTCTGTATAGCTTTTTCATTAGTCTGGATGAACTAACTCCGGGGCCTGAAAGTTTCATTTATTTCATTACATAGCTTTGTTATAGAAGTTCAACATGCCTGAATCTGGCTCCAACTCTGTATATTATACACAGAATGTCTTGAGTTGTAATTTGTGGTTCAGTATAAAGCTTTACCTTACTGTTCAATATTCTTTAAACTTATATTTTTCCAGTGAAAACTGAGAAAAAAACAGTGCAATTTAGTGATGAAGTTCAAGTTGAAACAATTGAACCGGAGCCTGAACCAGTTTATATTGATGAAGTATGTATTAAAAAGCAGATAGCAATAATGGGTATATGATGTCATTACTGAATCCTTTCAATTTGAGAATCGGTAGCATCCTTTCAGCTGATCATATACTGAGGAGGGGTAGCCTAAACAGCTTTCCCCAATTTTTAGTTCTGATTATATTCTTGGTAATGGGTTTCTTTGTCTCTTCCAATCTCTTTACATCAGACTTGAGAGATGGCACATCTCACTGTCTGAGACCTGGTTAGTCTGTCTAGTTCTGCCTATTCCTTCTTTAAGGATCCTGCTCTCAGGATACAATAACAAACAGCCTTACTGGAGAACACAATGTAGTAGATTATTCTTCCATGAAATACAATTGCACGGTGAAATTTTTGTCATGTCTGATCAAGCCATCTCCAGCTGTATGAATGAACGCCCTCCAAAGTGACCTGTCCTTGATCTTGCAAGTAAAATGCCTACTTTTCTGCACATGACTTTTTGTTTTAGAACAGTTCATGTTTTAAAAATGCCTAGGTTTTCACGCATATGGTTGGAACTGAAAGCTGGAGAAGGATGGGTGCTGGCCAGCAATCTGTAGGTGGGCTTTGAGGGCTTGTGTTATTCTATGTTCTTCCTCCTACCCATGGAGTAGTAGATTGATGAACATATCAAACATTTCTAATATTGCTTGCCGGACACCCTGACTAGCATTTGGTCAACATTTTGATAAAATAACTTCCTCTTGATACTGTATTCATATTGAATCAATTTTAAAAAGTTAGGATTGAATGGTTCTATATGTCTTTTTGTGCCATCAACCTTTACCTCAATATACTTTACGTTGCAAACGTTGTTGTAATTATTTTCCATTCTACCACTAGGTGGTGATGGAGCTAAAATAAGTATTAATGGATAAATTTGCCTGTCATGCTAAGTGCTTTGAAAATAAGCTGCACAGTGTGTGGTGTTCATGGAAACAAGCTGCCGGAAACAGGCTGCCACGTGCCTGACAGATAATCTGGCACACCATGGCTTGCTCGCTCCCTCCTTCCCTCTTGTTCTCCAGCTGGTATCCCAGGTCCTTCATGTCTTCCAGTCCAATAAGCACTCCTTTTCATTTGCCAATATGCGTTCTGCTTATGTCTTTGTTCAGGAGCTTCCAAAAACCCACCACAGTAAGGGTTGTTCCCCCCTCCCCCAGCCCCTGAAAATTGTGCACCTGTGTTACGCTTTTATTATTGTGGTTGGTCTTTTGCACTTAAGGCTGTCTGATAGGAGTTAATCACATACCGGTGGCCCTGTAAGCTTCAACTGTCAAAGGGAGCAGATGCAGTAGGTAACATACATGGTAACTGATGGGACAAGACTGAATGCAAGCTGATTTGTGCACAAATTCCAGCAGTCAATTGAAAACCAAAGTGAGCAGGGAGTGGCAAAAGCAAGAATGTAGGTATATGCACTTCTGGGGAAAAAGAAAATTGAGCTTGACAGTGTTTCACTGACCTGATGATTAGAAGACCATCTAGTCAAGTTACTTTTGTTCTGGTTTCTGTGGAATGAATTCAGAATATTTGGGCAGATGGGAACAGAATTCTTTTACATCTATAAAGACTTCCAGATGAGCAATTAGGGAACCTCTGCTATAGTTCAATACTTAATGTTATGCTAATTTATTGTGTCAAGCTGAGAGAGACCTACTCTTCATTTTTACCAAATGGAGCTTTTCATTCTATTTTTGCCAGTATATCCTGGGTTTCTTCAGTCCACTTTTATAAACCCATGCTCTCTTTATGGCCTTTACTCTCATGCAAGCATGGATCGTTCTCTTGTATTTATCTGTGGGCTTCTCAGTTTTCCCTTCAGAGCAGGCAAGTTCAGGAGGAGGGGAGTTGGCACTGGGACAAGTTTTCCAGAGACAGATTGTGGAAATGTGTCTGGAGTGGGAGGGATGGTTTGCAGAATTTGGGGGCTTGTTTCTTGCTGGATCCCTCCTCCCCTGTAACTTCCCATTCTCTCAATGGTTGTTACCCTTGTGTAATGATGTGCAAGGCTGGAAAACTTGCAAGACAGTCACTGTCTTTCCTATATACCCATTTAGGGTTTTTTTTTAAATATGCTGGAAGTCATTATTGATCCAAGAACATTTTTGCCTCTGTGAAGACTTTCTAGACATTTGCACATGTACCAGCTGTGAATCTCCTCCAACTCCTCCATTCCTGTATGGACTGACTTCGCTTCCTCCCACTTTGCAATGTTTGCTTAATTTGGCATAGTTGACGTGCTTATGGTAGAATCCCATTCTCTCAATATGTTGTATTTCTAGTTGGGCTGCCTGTTATAAACACCTGACTTAATTAGAAGAATAAATAAGCATTCAACCAAAATCTCATTTTAGATTTCCTTTCAAATCCTTCACATGTTGGACTTTTTCCTATCTTCCATTAGTAGTGGCATACATACCTTATGATAAGAGTCTGAGTGAAGGGATGTAGACTTCAAGTCAAAAACACAATAAAGATATCCTGAAACCCCTTTAAAGGAAGGCTGTTACTTGTTTTTATGATTGCTAGCATTGGCAGTTCTGAGAACTGGGTTGCCTACCAACCAGGAAAAAGAACTGGCCTGCACTGGTGCTTTAAAAAGCAGCTTGACATACAGAAATCACCAAGTATAATATTTTATAGCACAATTATAATTATTATGCACTTACCTACCAATGATAAAAACAAAGTTATCAGCAACCAAGATTGGTCAAAGTAGAAAAATATGACTAGGGAACTAGGTGTCCCCTGAACAACCACACAAGAACTCAGCAGTGTAATTCTCTCTCTCTCTCTCTCTCTCTCTCTCTCTCTCTCTCTCTCTCTCTCTTTTTTAAGTGCTCAACTGACACTATTCAGTTGCCATGTCAGGGTGCTGTTTTCATTTTTGTGTGTGTTTTTTTAAACTTGATAGGGACTAGAACCAACCACACGAGCAAGTGCTCAAGAAACAGTGGGTGATTAACCCTCTTTCTGCGGTGGCTGGAAGTTCAGAGAATTGTTGAAATGGTGCAGATGACAATGAAAACTCTTAGTTAAAGGAGGATTAAATGGCTAATATTGTTCCCAACCCTTTTTGGAGAACCTGCTTTTGCCTCTTCTTCCCTTATGTTTGGTGACTGACAGCTGGCAACTGTGCACATATTATATATGGAGTCTCTCCTGGCCACTCTGTTACATACTCTACTTCCCTATGGTAGCTGAAACTTACAAGGCAAAAACTATCAGACAGACATAAGAGCACACGTTTGCATCTGGAAAATATCAAGCAAAAACGATAAAACAGTTGTGGAATTTTCTAGAATGGGGAAAAATGCTGGCGAACCAGTGACATTTGTGCATCAGTGAAACAATCCTACAAGAAGCCATGGTTTGTCAGGGTGACTTGTTGCCCCCAAATAAACCTCCTTGTGAGAAGCAGTCTGGTTTCATACAAGACATCCCCTACTCCCATGTTAGCCACAATGACATATCATGATGTGCAAATTCAGTCAATGACTAGGAAGTATTCCAGTTCAGAGATCCGTGACATGGGGAAAATGGTTTCTGTTTGAAGGATGTAGTCACTGCCAACTTTTGCACTTTTGGGTGTTTTTAATATTGACTTGCATATGAAATGTATTAAATAAATCATGTCAGTTAATAGGCTTGGAATAGATTTTATAGATCCCAGTGAAGATAATTTCAGTTACAGTTATATTTTAGCTGAGTTTGCTGTTTCTAGACAACCAATCAATGGCAATATTTTGGCTCAGAATGTTCCCAAGTAATCGACCCATGGTTTTATTACAGGAATAAATTATTTATAAAGTATAATAGTTTATGCTATGTATGTGTTTTATCATAGAGTACACATATTGATAGTAAATAAATTTTGTATATGTGGTATAAGTTTTCATTAAAGCTATTGTAATATTTTGGCCATGTCCAGAGATTCAAGAAGCAGTGCAATTTGTTCTGCATGCACGAATGGGCCTTGAGCTTCTATTTCTCCATCAGCAATTCCCTCACTGCCACTTTGAAAGCTTCTAATTGTTTTCAGGATCTGCAGACATGAAAACCAACAATTTAATTAGACATATTCAAATCATTGGACATGACTGAAATAGTTCTTTGAAATAAGATTCCAAATATATAATGACCTGTTCCAAATTATAAAATGTGTCTCATATTTTAGGATAAAATGGACCAGTTGTTGCAAATGTTGCAAAGTGCAGATCCATCGGATGATCAGCCAGACCTCCCTGAGCTAATCCATCTTGAGAGTAAGCCTTCTTTCCTAAGTTCTGCTCAAGCTGCCACCTACAAACTCCACCTAAGAGCAGTTGGGGATGCCCACTCCAGAACCTGTTGTGTGGCCAACACCATAGTAAATTGACCTTGCTTGACAATCTTAAGATTTCTACTTGTTTTATTGAAAGGTTTCTCTTACATATAATTTGCTTAACTGCTTCTGTTGACTTTCTTTATAGAATACTTTTACGTTATGCTATTAATTTTAAATTATTTTTATACTGCCCCTCATCAAATCAGATTGCAGGCTGTGTAAATACTAGAATGATTTCGAATTAATACAACAAAACACGAACATCACAAGGTCATGTTAAAACACAGCAAATGATTTTATTTTTGTTATCCATACTTTACTTTTAGCAATATGCCATCAGATGGGACCACTCATTGATGAAAAGCTAGAAGATATTGACAGGTATGGATAGATAACAGTGGAGAAAATCCTGATTTTTAAAAGCAACAAGAATGAAAGAACTTTGAAATGAAAAGAAAGGAATTTGTTTCAGAGATGAGCTGTTTATTTTAAATCTTGCACTTACATAACGGCGGCAAATGCATTTTTTTAAAAAAAATCATTGGATAGTTGACTCTTGTCGCTATCCTGGATTTTCAAAAATTATCAAATGTTAGTTCCTTATTTTTTTGTGGTTTTCATTCCATTTCCCATGTGAAGAGGCATGTTCTGTCTTGTTCCTGGCAGCCATTTTTATTCTTGGGTATCTGCATTCCCTTCTCAGCCAAGCATTTCTTTAGATCAGTAGTGGCAAACATATGGCATGCGTGCCACAGCGGGCATGTAGAGCTCTCTCCGTCAGCACATGAGCCAGATTGCACCAGCATCGCCCCAGCAGCCGAGCAGTGGATAACAGCACACGTAGGGACCATGCGCATGCTCGGAAAGGAGTAGTGGTGCCAGGTGATGTCATCACAAGCCACAACTCATTAGCCTCAACTCATCCGAGCTTTCTCATGGCCGGTCAGTTTGTTGCCAAGGTTACACACACACACACACACACACACACACACACACACACTTGGACTGGCTGTGAGTTGTTTTTTCTAAACTAAAACCTCAGTTTTCAGGTTTTATTGCAGTGTGGGTCTTGGGTTGCAGTTTGGTCACTCGGTCTCTAAAAGGTTCACCATCACTAGGTTAGGGTTAGAAAAACAAGGTGTCCTGGCATGAGTTTGATGGTTGGAATGTGTTCAGAATGGGCAGAAATGATGAGCTGTGCAGAAAAAGCTACTCAAGGAAGGCTTTTTCAAATCGCCCACTTTTCAATGGTATTTTACCCCATATTAGGGTTAGGAGTGCGCACCAGGGTAGGGTTGGGGTTAGAAAAATGAGGTGTCCTGGCATGATTTTGATGGTTGGAATGTGTATAGAATGGAAAGAAATGATGAGCAGTGCAGAAAAAGCAACTCAAGGGAGGCTTGTTCAAAACTGCCCTCTTTTCAATGAAACTATAGCCCTCTATTTGGGTTAGGGGTGTGCACCAGGGTAGAGTTAGGGTTAGAAAGACGAGGTGTCCTGGCATGATTCTGATGGTTGGAATGTGTTTAGAATGGGCAGAAATGATGAGCTCTGCAGAAAAAGGTACAGTGGTATCTTGGCTCACAAACTTAATCTGTTCCAGGACTCTGGCCGTGACCCAAATTGGTTGTGAGCCAAGTTAAATTTCCCCATAAGGTTCAATGTAAATGAGGTTAATCCGTTCTGTAACTATTTTTGTTTAATCAGAAAAATGTGAAGAAGCAAAGTGACAAAGAACAAAAAAGATCACGGCCATCTCCCCCTTCCCCACCCCAAGTACGAGCCCAGCCATCCACTCCCCCAGCACAATCGTGATTGTGCTCGTCATCCCTGCATGCGCCTGTCATCCTGGCGTGCTGGAGAGGGGAGAGATGGGAGCAAACACGGGCGTGCTGGGGGGGAGAGACGGGCGTGAACGCAGGCGTGATCTGGGGGGGCGGTGTGAACGCGGGCACACTGAGGGGGAGAGATGGGCGCGATCGTGCTGGGGGAGGGGAAATGGCCAAGATCACAGTTGCGTTCATGCAGGAAAGACGGGTGCGATCTCGGCCATCACCCCCTCCCCGCCCCCAGCATGATCGCGGCCATCTCCCCACTTGGGGTGGTGGGGAGATGACTGCAGTCACGGTCGCCACCCAGTGCAGAGTTCACGACCTGATTCAATTTTTTAATGAAATTTTTGTTTGCGACCCAATTTGGTTGTGAACTGAGGCATTCGTGAGCCAAGGTACCACTGTACTCAAGGAAGGCTTTTTCAAAATCACCCTCTTTTCAATGATATTTTACCCCTATATTAGGGTTAGGGCAGTGGTGGTGAACTATGGCACGCGTGTCACAACAGGCATGCAGAACCCTCTCTGTCAGTACGCAAGCCAAGTCACGCCAGCATCGCCCCAGCAGCTGAGCATCGGATAACAGCGTTCATAGGGGTCTCAGTTTTCAGGTTTTATTGTAGTGTTGACACTTTGCGATAAATAAGTGGGTTTTGGATTGTAGTTTGGGCACTTGGTCTCTAAAAGATATTCCATGCCATGGAAACTCCCAAGCTTAGTACCCTAGCTTGGAGTTAAGCTGACACCTTCGTGCTGCAGTAGATCATTCAGAGGTGGAAGAAGGCCTCTTGGCTGCTGCTGTCAGAAGGCAGGAGAGCTCCTTTTTTATTCCTGGCATTTGCAATAAAATGGATTCTTTTTTCTCTGATTCAGAAAGCCAGTGATTAAACAGTTAACTGAACCATGATGCACACTTGATTTCATTTTGTAGAAAAAGATTGTCATTTACATTAAAATATCTCATTCAGGAAACATTCAGAACTCTCAGAGCTCAATGTCAAAGTGATGGAGGCACTCTCATTATATACCAAATTGATGAATGAGGATCCAATGTATTCAATGTATTCCAAACTACAAAACCAACAGTACTATATGGCTCAGTCCGGTGTATCTGGCTCTCAGGTATGTATTTGGGTGTTTAAAGATCTGTGACAGATACCATGGGGTAAAACATTTCATCCAAGTCCTTGGAAAACATAACAGTGCGTGGAATTATGCAGTCATGGAACATTGGCTTCTAACTGCTGGCATGTGTTGTTTACATAGCTTCCTTCTATTTTGCTGGGAGGTGCACAAAGATTCTTTAGAGGGCAGCAAGGAACTACTGTGAAGTAAAATGCATATAATTGTATACCTGCCAGATTTCATCAGGCGGCATTTACTATGCTTCCCAATTAATTGAAGCAAATTGGGACCAATAAGAAATTACACATACCCTATGAAGAAATTATTTAGCGTTCAGAGCATGCAAGAGGATGGGTTATTTACAAGGGTGAATTAAACATCAGTTATCACTGTTGATATGCAGTAATAAGGGGCATCAGTGAACCTTTACTTCAACATTTAATTAGTAAGCAAATATTGCTAAGGTGCTTTTGGATCATGATTTTATGGATTCAGGTAGAGAAAAGTGAGGAACCATAAGGTGAAATGGAAATGGTTTATTCCTGTGTTTACTTCTGCTCATTGTGTATGCTGTAGGTTTATCCAGGACAGCCTCAAAGTAATGCATATTTGGTGGCAGGGAGCGCACAGATGGGCCATGTTCAAGGCTACAGTCTTCCATCAGAGCAACTTCCAACTCTGAATCAAGCAACAGTTCCTCCAGCAGCAAGCTCTGGATTACCCAGTCAGCCTGTTCAGACATCTTACACAAAGTAATTGTGAAAGTTTAAATATCCAAGATTTAGAATTTAATGTGAACTAGGGGTTTTTAAAGTGAATAATTGATGGGAATTTTATCTTGAAAGTGAGATCGAAGCATTGATCTGTGATCATCTATTTAGATTAGGCATTTGTTCTCCAGTTTCAGTTACAGAGCATAGGTAAAATAGAAATGCAAACTCTGAAGGATTATATTGTAAATCTCATTCACCTGTTTGGTAGGTGAATGAGATTTACAGTATAATCCTTCAGTTATTTATCGAGAAGTGAATTCTAATTCTGTAGGATTACTTCTTAATGTTTAGACTGTAAGCCAGATTTTACACAAGATATGCCGTAGTACTACTTTATCGTAGTTAGACTTTCAGAACAACATCCTAGTTTCCTAGATTTACAATCCTCCCGCACTTGTTAAGATTAAGAGTCTTTGGAAGTGTTTTATCTGCTTAAATCACAAATTAACTTACATCCTGAAATACTGTATGAAATGAAATGATAACAGAGAGTATGCATTTGACCATCCTACTATTATTTTTAAAAATTCAGTTACCAAATATTTGTTTGGATACATCCACTAGTGCACTTTACCATTGATATAGTGGAAAACTTTCTGCTGCTGCTATGGAGACAGAGTAAACATAATGAATGATGTGCAGTTAAAATAGTCTGGAAAAGCTTTGTATTTCAAGAACAAAAACCTACAGGAGAGGCAACGCAGCAGGGTGGGGGAATGTCAAGAGAAAACCTTAGAGGTGCACAGGAACTATTTAGATTGTCTCAATAACTTAGGCCAGACTAAACCATTTTTTTCAGAGTAATCTTTTAAGCATCCCTAGAAGAAACTGATCAAATTGCCTGTGATGTAAAGTTCCTGGATGCAAAATGCTTTGGGCGTCTAGCAGTTTTTGTGAACTTTGCTTCCCTTAGTTTTTGAAAAGTTGCCTCTGTGTTGTGTGTGTGTTCTGTATGTCCAGTGAGGAATTACATTAATTTTGGCTACCACGTTTATACCCTGTACTGACCTATTTTTCTCCCCACTTTGCTTCCAGCGCAATGGTTGGATCTGTTCCAGGAAACACATATTCCAGCCAAGCTTCAGTCTACAGCCCACCTCCAGCTGCTACTGCTGATGTTGCTGTTTATCAGAATTCCGGAACTATGTCCCAGGTGCCAAACTATAACTTAGTCACCTCAACCTTGCCCCAACCACCAGGTAGCCAGCCATCACCACAACAGCCTGCATCATCACAACAAAATACTTACTCTCAGAAGGCACTTCTATAGGATCTAGGACTTCTGATTCCTAATCTGGTCTAACCTCTGCAGAAGGCAGTTTACAATGTTATGAGTTTATTCCTTTAATATCTTAAATGTGGGTTATCCTCAGCTTAATAGGAATCTTTCTTGGTGAACAAGTATGACAATTCTATTTGCACTGACTTTTTAGGATTTTTTTAAGTTTGCAAAGGAGTTAAAATACTTAGGACTTTTAATTCCTTTAAAATGCCTAAACATTGGTACAAGGTTATTTATGTATGCTGAAACTGGTTAGTTTGTGAAGAGTCAACTTGGCAAACTCTTACAGCATATACGTTATGTACATATAGTGTGTTTGTGTTAGTGGCTGTTTTGAATTACTATGGTGATCATGTGAATATATAACAGTGTTAAAATAATTTGCATTACTGTTTTATTAATCATGAACAGATGGACCATGTTCATGGATTTTATAAGAATGTCTGTTCAAAGTGTAGGACAAGGCTCTAACCTGCATATCATAAATACTTACAGGCTACGGATATGCTCTTGAAACTGAACAGTCTAGTTTTTCATTAATTGTACAATGAATGCAAGTGTGTCCTGCCTTCCTGTAGCATTTGGTGCTACTTGATGACATTATCTACCAAAGTAAGGGGCCTAGAACTTCAGACACTCTGCATTCAGAATGCATACTGCTTTTATGAATAATGGTTTCAAAACAATAACTTGCAAGCTGCTAAACTCATGGGACCATGAAACACATTTGAACTGTTTTATGTTTATTGTTTAAATGATGTAACTTACATTTCCATGCTGGTTTCATGTCACCTGAATGCTGAAGTATATTCTGTGTATATTGGTGGAGATCACGCCAAAGACAGAGAACACATTGGCTGTGAGTGAATGGCATTTTTAAACTGGAACAGAAAAAAACACTACATTGATTAAAGTCTTGTTAAGGACTGCCATAGTTGTCAGATCACGTGATTGTGGTTTTTTTGCTAAAATATATGGCCTTTTTATACTTCTTCAATTTTGCTAACCTCCTGTATGGGTTCCATGCAGAACAACCTCCAAGTAGGAAAATGGCATACTACCACCTTCAGGGGGAGACATCTGCTTGAGTGCTCATGCCTTGAGGAGCTGGGCCAAGCACGGTTCTCTCTCAGTAGCAGCTCAGAGGTCAGTCTCTGTGGAACTCTTCTTCAGCAAACTTTATCAGTTATTTAATCTTGTTCCTTTTCTTCTTTTACTTGTCCATTTGTCTTTGTTTTTTGTTTCTTATTATTTTATTTATTTATTAAAATATTTTTATGCCGCCCCATTCGCCGAAGCCTCGGGGTGGCTTCTTGCATGTATTTTTTCTGGCTTTCCCTGAATACCTGTGATGCAGTGTTAACAGCATATAAAAAGTATCAAGAGGAAATTTCCTATCACATATGGGGACAATAATTGGTTTAATCTTGCCTTAAATGGCACAGTTCAGTAGTTCCTCAGGCAAGAGCTCATCCTTGCATCAAAAAAATCTAATAGTTACAGTATCTGTCCCTACCATGCAGCCATAGTAAGATGTTCTGTTTCGTGTCACTTTCATTGGCTATTGTTTCAGCTGCCCCATTTTTATCCATCCACTTTGAATCTTCCAGAATGAAAACTGCTTCCATGAGTAACATTTCTAAACCACAGTTACTACTCATCTGTGTATTTTTCTCTGGGTCAGAGTGTGGCCTTGAATGTCCATGTGCTCATCATATTTAGAGAGGGCCTGAGTGAGAATGCTATCTCCTTCCCTAGGTCAAAGATGCCTATGTCCTGTTTCGCTTGGTATTGATTACTTCATAGAACCACTCTGCAGAAATTTTTGGTACCATCATCACCCAAACAACAGCCATAATTGTAGTGCTGAATAGTTGAAAACTCATCCTTTATACCCTTATACTGCGCATCATATTCAAGGCAGCATTGGCATCTGGCCTGGGAAATGCAAGGCCCCTGAACCTGATTAGGATAGGTACTGTCATGCTGTATCATTTATGGCACACTGAGTTCCTTCAGCTTCAGCTTTACTAAGGCTGCCATGCTTACTACACTAGGGAGTAATTTTCATTAAACTCTGAGGGAATTACTTTTGAGTAAATATCCATATGATTGCACTTCATGCATTCCAAGTTCTACCGTATTGTTACTGGCACCCATACATGTAGCAATAAATGCTTCAGCAACTTCCTTAGCATAATTCACCTTTTTTGGTGTCTAACTGTTCTGTCACTTCCTCTATTACAAGTGTTAATATTTCTGCTAAGGGAAAGCCACAACTCTGATTCAGCATGACTTTTCTTATACAACCCAGATGCTGCATGACTTGCAGTGCCAATTTGCAAAGGAAATATAGTGGCTGTTTATATATCTTTCAAAATCTGCTGAAACACATGGAGAAGAAAAGGTGAGATGGGCAAATCATTCATGCTTTGTCCAATGAGCTTGTTCTGCTTTCCTAGACAGGTATTGATGGTTCACGTGACCAGAAAAAACCTTGACGGAATTTTTATATACCCAAATCAACAGTAGATTTCTAAATTCCAGCTGAATGCTCTGGACATCTAGAATTATTATTTATGGGTTGTGGTTCTTGAAGTATCCCTCAAACTAGATAGCACAAATTGATGCCATAAAAATATATTTTATTGCTCAATCATAGAGGAAACTTTGCAAGGATCAGCAAGCAAAACACACCACATAACAATATGATGAGAATTAAAGTGTAATCAAAATAGTGGCTAGCATAGTCTTACTAAAATGGAAACTTTACATTTGTGTTCCTCTTAACCAACAAAGCAGTCATCATTAGGAGCTTTTATTTACCTAATTTGCTGGTTTGTAGAGTTCAGGTGACCAAATGTGGTAAACCTATGACATGAATGGGAGCTTCAAAGCTAAATATGGGTTTTCCCCTTAAACCTGTGATCACTAAATGCAGAAAGTCCATCATTTTCTGAGCATTTTGCTTCCGTGAATTAACCTTGCACCTGTGGTGAGCTCCCATCCTGATCAAGCAACACTTTCTGCACCCTCTGTGCACCCTCTGTGCTTAGCAGACACAGATTATAATAAGATTATAATAAGGGTTATTATTTTAAGTGAGAGCTAATGAATAACACTCCTATAAAATACAATGAATTTCAACAATACATATTGCATTCATTCTTAAAAGAAACAGACTCAACTGTTTTATGATCATTGGCTAATTCAGCGTAATTATCCAGCCTTTTATTTACTTTTTATCTAAGAAGGTTGCACTCCTGGTTTAAAAGATTGCTACTCCTTAGAACTATCATTCATAATACAAGCACAATAACAAATTGCTTTCTAAAACCAAAATTGCTGTCCAAAGTACCAGTCTGAGATCCAATGTTATACATATTTAGACGGAAAAAATTCCTGCAACTCTCCATATTCCTCAGTCAGCATATGGGACAGGAAATGCTGGGAGCTGTAGGACTTCTTTCTGTCTAAGCTTGCAAAGGACTGAACCCCCAAAATTGGTCCTCATAGTTCAATAGATAATCATGCAACTTAAATATAGCAACCACATTACTCACTCTGACCATATATTTATTGCTTTTTAAATGATACATAAAAATAAAATATTCAGGCACAGTTATACTTAAGCAACAAGGAGTGTGTGTGTGTGAAGACTTAGAATTTTGGAAACCAAAACAAACTAATACCATAAACTGTTAATTCTATTACTACTATCCAATCTATATCACAAGATGTGGTGATAGCCACCAATTTGAACAGCTTTAAAATAAGACCAGGCAGGAGAAGGCTGTCCACCTCTAGTAGTAACCCAGTGTTTACATGCACCAGATGTTCAGAAATGTGGGGAGGTGTGAATTGCACTCATGTCCTGCTTGTGGGTTTCCCATGAGCAGCTGGTTGGTCATTATGTGGACAAAATGCTGGATGAGATAGACCTTGGTCTGGTCCAAAATGGTTCTTACGTTCTTATATCTTCATTTAAACCATTTTAAATCAGTGCTCTTTGTTTCCAGTACACTTTCCTTTTCTGAGTCTCTTGTAAAGTTCTTTACCTTGTACTTTCTCTAGACATCAGAACTTCAGTCTTTTTCCATTATGTGTGAAGGATTTAGAGTTTTACAATCCATCTGTCATAATCCAGATGTCTAGCCTGCTCTTGTAGTCATGCTACTATGCATTATGTTGCATAAAAATATTTCCCTTGTATGTTATCCAAAAGGCTTGATAAACTTCCTGATCTTTCCTAAGTTGGAACACACTGTAGTTCATCCACATAAGAATTGAGATCTAATATTTTTCCCCATCCAAGATGCTAGCATTGTGTATTTTCTTTCTGATTGTTACAGATATAAATAAAAAAAATCAAATTTAGCTGGTGTTTGTAGCAAATATGGTACCATTTTTATATTTAGTAAGGTCTTCCAAGAGGTACCAAAACTTCATAAGAATAGCTAAGCCTTATCCTGGCTAGTATATAAGTTTGAAAGATGGTGCTCGAGGACAGCTTTGTGATAACGTGGACAGGCAGAAAGACAAAGAAGTCAGTCCTGGATCAAATCAAGTCAGAGCATAGAGGCAACAATGACAAACTGAGGCTGTCATACTTTGGACCCATCATAAGAAGGCAAGACTCACTGGAGAAGACAATCATGTTAGGGAGAGTTGAAGGCAGAAGATGAAAGGGAAAACCAAATATGAGATGGATTAAATCCATAACGGAAGCCACAGCCCGGAACTTGGAAGAGCTGAATGGAACTGCCATGGACAGGACATTCTGGAGAGCTTTCATTCATAGTGTCACCATAACTCGGAGATGACTTGATGACATATAACAATAACAAATGTACATCAACTAATGATGACATGATTACCAATTCAGAGAATTGCTTTAAAAGGGCTCTTCTCATCATGTCTGCTTTACATATAGCCTTACTTAAAATTAATTGAAGATGATACCTTTCTTGAAGTTGATGCATTAACATGTTACCTTGTTTGAAAACAAGCTGGCATTTTGCTGCAATTTTATCATAGTCTCAAAATTTGAGAATGAAGAATTCTCTTTAGATGTTGGGGGTTATAGTTTTCATGCTGCAAAAATGAATTCATATCTATTGGTCTTCTGTAAGCATTATATAAATGGCCATTACTATTTTAAATCTTGATATTCAAAATGTATTGCTCCTGTTATGTATATGTCACAATATTATATTCACTGAGAAATATACAATGCCCCAACAGCTCCCCAGTAAGGGAGCGGTAAGATGTAGCTACCTCAGTCCAGCATGGATTAATTTCCCTGTGGGTCCAGTTGTACTGTGCTGGAAGCTCCAATTTTGCATGTTGCCCAGTTTGCTGTGTCTTGTGTTCTCTGAACCCAGATGGGGTTTAAAGTGGAAGAAAAGAGTGCATGGGAAAGCACTGTGGCCTCAGTAATTCTTCAGTTAAGCAACTTGTAAATCGTGTAACACTTTCAACAAAGGAAGATACCATAACCATACTTATGAAGAGTTAAATTTTATATTATTGGTAAAACTTGAACTATCAGTAGTGTCTCTCAGAGTCCACCTGTTGAATAAAAGGATTCAAAACGGAATGTTTACAGATGGAGAATGGTCAAATACAGATTGAGAAGCTGAAATTAAGGAGAGCCAGGAACAGGACAAGCTCTCCAGATGGAGGCAATAATTAATATGGGGACATATTCCTCTATTAAATGTTTCATCAGTAATAGTTCTAATGTCCTGCTTAATGCATGGTGATCATGAACATAAAATGGATAATGAGGCACATAATGCATAATATTTGCAGCAGCCTTATTCAATGTCATCTTTCCTATTGATAATCACTAACTAATCATATATAGGTCTGCTCAGAAATAATTTCCATAATTTTCAATGGCGATTATTGCCAGGTTGATGTGCATAGG